TTTTAAGATTTTTTACTCTCACTTTGTGTTATGTCCTCTCTGTTAAGTTTTTAAAAGTCCGTTATTTTTTTAACCAACTGTCAGTGCACCTCATTAGGAAAGATTTACATTCATAATTCTGGTGCACTCATTGTTCAACATAGGAACTACTTTGTAAATTACAGATTTGCAGAAGAAAAACAAAATTAACGCTGTGATTAAAGTCATTCCTGATGGTCATAACATTTATTGAGTTTAAACTAAATGTAAGTTATCCAAAAAGGGAAGGTTTTTCATATAGTATTTCTTTAAAGGGCATGAGAATTTTCCTTTCATTTATATAAAGGATTTCCTAATTCACTGTGATATTTATGATTGCCAAGAGAATGAATGACCGTGTGCCTTTCAGAAGCCTTGTGAATGTTTTTTGTTGCAACCCTGTTTAAAATCTAGAGTTGGCTACTGTAGTTTTTTCTGGCTGTTGCTTGTATAGAATCATTTTAAACACTGTTGCAACCTCACACACAGCCCTCACCTGCTATCTCCCCCGTCTTTCTGCTACTATAGGTGAACCAGTACTTCCTTGCCACTCATTAATTGTAATCAAGATAGCATAAATAAGGCTTCCATGTTAAAATCTCTGCCGTTTTTAGTATATCCGTTTCGGAGACCAATGTTATGCCTTATAAAGTATTTCCTTCCTCTTCAGTGGGCCTCGCATTTTGTAGAAAAATAAGTTGTTTGGGAGTTCTTCCCTGCCTCTTCCTTAGCTCTCAGCCTTCTGATTACAAGGTTTGGCTTAAGCCTCAGAATCTTAAAAAATAATCAGGCAGGCTATTCTATCTTTTAGCAGCTGGCTAAATCAAGAACTAGTTATAAAATCTAAATATAAGAAATATTGCACAAACTTCTAGTAATTCTAATTACATGTGAAACTCATCTGATTGCACTAGCTATTGGCTTAGCCCCATGGAGGGTTTTGAAAAATATAAAATACAGCCTTTTGAGGAAGGTATCAGGTTGCAACCCCCTCCCCATAGAGATATATCAAATGTGGAATAGGATCACATTCCCTTTCCCCTTTAGCAATCTTCGTAACTTACTAAAGCTGATCAATTATTTATTTAAACTGGCTAATTCAATGTCCACCCAAAAAAACCTATTTATATACATTTTGTTATAAAGCTACTTTGAAAATATCTGTTGATAGCTAACATTTTAGAAAAAAATGATATATTGAATGCATTCTACAAATGAGAATAAAGTATGAATGGTGCCTAGATCCCAAGAATACTTTATTACACTGATACACGTGCTTCAATCAAAACTCTTTTCAAATATCTTTTTTCGTAAGGAGAAAGAAAAGCAGTTACAAAGTTAGGCCAAAAGGGATTCTGAAAGTAACCTGGAGACCAGGTTGAACCAGAGGAAGGCTGGCGTGCTTAGTCTGCGTCCCCGGCCAGTGCCTCCTTACCTGTGGCAGCTGTAAATACAGAGGTCTCACCAGAGCCCTGGGAAAATGAGAATGGTTATCTTGACTTCATCTCACATTTCCAAACCTCTCTCCAACCTTTTCTCCCATTTCCTTATGGACCCGGTATCCTGCTATTGTCCTTCGCCCACGATTCTCAATTTGGTCTCTTCAACCAAAAGCTCGATCCGTTGAATATGTAGTAGCATTTCTAAAGATGAAATCATCAGAGCAGCCTTGTTTAATACAATGATGTAATGAAACAACTACGTGAAGAAGACAACTTTAAAGTGTAGTTTTGTTAGCCAAATGTGTATTTTGTATTTGGTTGGTAGAATATAATAGGGAAAGCCTGGTATTTAGTAATTTAGTTAAAATGTAAATGTTATCACAGTATATGTTCATATGTCTTGGAGTGTGTTTTCATTGTACTGTCATTGAAGTTTGAGGTGCAGCGTAGTCAGGCTTAGTCACTGGGATTTCCAGAAGTAAATCCTATTTCTCTTATTATATATCATACACTCCTTGAAGGCAGATGCTATGTCTAATGTATCAGTTTCGCAAAACGCCTACCGTGTATCTTTTAAGAGATAATATTTGTTGAACACTGTTTGAATGTATTTCTTTTCCTTACACTTCAAGGACAGGATTCTTGTCATCTACGTCTCAAACACAGCCCCCAAAATGCCCTCATGAAATCTCAGGTCTTAGACCTACACATTCCACCATCCTGCAAGGCCACATTTGCAACTGCTTGTTGGATATCTACACATGCCCTTAAGCATTTTAAACTTTACATCACTAAAACTCAACTTACTTTCTTTTCACTTAAATCTGTTTATTTTCTTCTGTAATGGAAAAACACCATTCTGGGCTCCATAATCCGACTCCGTCTTAACAGAGTGCACTGCAATTGCTCTTGTATCCTTTCCATCTTCACTGCCCTTCTGTCGCTGCAGAGCCCCTGGGTCCCAATGACTGGAGCGACTTTTCTTCTAGTTCCAGTGTTTTCCTTGCATGGTCCCATTTTAAACACTGCCAGAGCCACGCAGGGGTGTCCAACCTGTGGCCTGCGGCCCAGGGTGGCTATGAATGCAGCTCAACACAAAACTGTACGTTTACTTAAAACCTTTTTTTTTTTTGGTTCATCAGTTTTTGTTAGTGTTTGTGTATTTAAAGTGTGGCCCAAGACAACTCTTCTTCCAATGTGGCCCAGAGATGCCAAAAGGCTGGACACTCCTACCTTTAGTCTCCTAGTCAGAGACTAAAAGCACAGCTCTAGTTTCATGCCTGCTCTTCAGCTTTCATTGGCTTCCCAGTGGCTTGGCAGGGAACACATCTCCTCAGACACCATATACCCCAGCTGACCCTCACCCAGCCTTTCTCTGTTCACCCTTTCCTCCACCCCCACTGCTGCCCGTGGACCCAAGACTTCTCTGTGAAGTTGATCCTAGTCCTTCTCGTCCCTGTTCCTTCTCCCCTATTTCTTCAGACTAGATCTAGTCTTTCCTTTCTCTGGGCTCTAATGGCCCTTAGCTCGTAAACCATCTTTCTTATGGTACTTATCACATCCTGTCCTTGAGGGCAGCAACTGTGTCTCTCTCATTTGAGATTCTCCCTCAGCATCTGGCAGAGTGCCTCCCATGCACTGATACTCAGTGTTTGGTAAATCAAATTACTTCTAATGGATCACTGTTGGTTTTTTTAGTGTCCCAATACACAGACATTATTCAGGAACCTGTGCCACTTTTGAATGTTATTTTCTAAAGGAAAATCATACCTATAACTTCCCCCCCTTTAATAAAAGAGAAATAATTTTAGTGTTTTTTTAAGACAAAGGTGGTAGTAAAATTTCAAAATGCCTCCATGTGTCAAATTTCTTTTCTTTTTTTTTTTGTTCAGGGGGGAGGTTTAAAGGTGGCAGTCTTTTGTATAAGTTGGTCGTTGCATCTTAACCAATCTTGAAATGGTATTTTTTAATGACTTATGAATTTCTAGAAACACTTTTTACCTAAATTGATAAGTCTGTATCTTATTGTCCATATAGAGATAATAGATCCTTTATAAATCAAATGTTAGCATTGTAAATAATGTTATTATGTATTATATTTATACAAAATAAATTTATCTACTTTTGGTGTGATGATGTCTTTTAAACTGTAATTTTTTTTACTAGTCACATTTAAAGATGAACCACACCTGTTTTTCTGAAGCCTAATTAGGGGATACTCTTTTTCACCCACAACTGATGTTCCCCAAATGGCTACTACCTCCACATTTTAATAAGTCAACTTATTGTAACTTACATGAATTGGATAATAAGGGGTAACCACAAGCATCACTATAAGCATGTATATTATACACTGAAAACAGAGAAAAGGTCTCAGATTGCCTTTTTCTATTGGACCTATAGTATGCTTGCTTCGCTTTCACTTTTGAGACCATCTGAAGGATTTATGGGGTGGAGAGAGGGAGAACTGAGGAGCTGCCTTAAAACCATCAAACAAATAATGCCAAAGGAAGAGGTGGACTTTTAGAGAATGAGGCATAAATTATATTTATACCTGTTAGGGATTGTTACATTTCCTCTTTCTGTGTTTGGCTTCCTAGTTCCAGAAGGAAGTGCCGGAGGACATGTTCCCTTTTTCAGTGCACCTTTGTTTTTTTTTTTCCTCACTTGGGTTTCTGGCCTTAATACATGATAGATTTTTTGGTGCTGATTAATACTAAAGATATTTTAAGGACCTCTTCTCTTAAAGTGCAGACTGTCACACAGGACAGCTCTTCCCACCACACGTTAGTGCCACAGGCGATCGATCACCGTCAGAATGTGATGTTCCACCAATACTCCTTTCACAAATTTTTACTGACTACCAGGTACTGTCCTATAGGCTTGGGAATACCACTGGAAAAGTCAGACAAAAAAGAGCCTTCCAAAATCTTACATTTTAAGTGATTATATCCTTGCACCATTTAGCAGCTATACCTATTTACTTACAATAGTTGATGAGTAAAACTTTGCCTTGCTACACAGGATTCTACCCCAGCTTCTCTTTTTATTGAAGGGAATTTAAAATATCTTACTGGGATCTACCCAGGCTTGTTAGTCCTCTAATAAACGTTAGAAGCCTGTAACAGAGCCCAGTTTCCCACAAACTAGAGACAAAACTGCCTAAAACTGATGAGGTTATCATTACTCAAACATGAAACATTGTCTCAAGACCTTTACCGACTGCCTTTAGCAAACAGGATGTTAGGCACCTGCGACTCCTCCCAGACCCTGATCCGGATGCCCGCAAGGGCAGAGCAATCTCCCTCCTCACCGCTAGGGGGCAGTCGATTTTGAGAGGCTCGGTTCTTTCAACCCTCCACCTAGGGAACGTCACGACTTCCTCTCGCCACCTCGTCACACCACTCACGCGCAGGCGCAGACGGGAGCGCGTACCTGGGAGCTGAGAGGTCACGAACTCTGACCCCCTCCCAAATACACAAACCCAGAAAGCTGCTTGCCCCTACTTTTCTTTACACCCCCCCCTTCGGCTTTCTCCAAACTGTCCCCTCCCGGACACTTCTACTAGCCGTCGCAGCGGGACCGCCAGGTCCACGCCCGGCGCGGGACTTAACTCGACAGAGAAGCCGGTAAGAAGTGCGGGTGTTGAGAAAAGCGGCTTCACGCTGGGCAGAGGGCGGGGGTGGCCCTCCCTCCGAACTGCCAGCCGACGCACCCCAGAAACCCCCAGAGCCTGCGGGCTTCGGCCGGCGGGGCTGGTTCGTCTGGCAGTTTCACGGCAGGTTGCTGGGTTGGGCTGGGGGTGCGGAGAGTGGCCGGAGCAGTGGGAAGGAATGCTCGGGGCAAGGAGAGGCTGTAGGTGGGAGCGGGGGTCCAGATTGTGGAGCAGGGCCTGGCGGCGGGTCTTGGGTGCGAGTCCGCGAGCAGCTCGGTGTGCGCTGCAGCCTCTGCCGTGGCGCCTCCCGCAGAGCCTCTGACCTTTCAACTACAGGAAAAGCTTCCGTCTGGGCGTTTCCCCTGCCTCTGGGAGCCGAGCACCGGGGGTTCGGTGGCCAGCTGGACGGGACGCAGAGAAGCGGTTCCCCGCCTGAGTCCCTTTCATGGAGGGCCCGTTACAAAATCTCGTGCTTACACGGAAGGGACGGCATAAAGCCCCCGCCTTTCACAACAAATGGGACAGGAGTAGTCACTGCCTTCGGACCTGTGTCTTTTGAGAAATAAATAGATCGGCCATGGGTACAGAATGCACTTGAGCATGGCCAAGCTTCCAGTAGCTTGGAATCTTTTGTTATGCAATTCTGCCTCCAGCTTCTGTAGATACCGTTTTATGAATTGGAAATGTTGCCAAGTTGTCCCATAACTTTCAGTAAGTAGGTCAGCCTGTTTAAGAAAAAAAAAACTGGAAAGGAAAAGCAAAATGAATTGAAAGTAAGGCATTTAGGGTTTCTCTGCCTCTGGAAGTTGTAACGATGCCTTCAACTTGGAGGTTTTTGAACAATCGTTCATACATGACGATTTTTAAATTTTGCTTGTATGTGCAATTGGTAGCTCTAAAGGGTATTTCCATTCATTTTTATAAAACAGTGGATCACATGAGATACAGCTATTGTTATCATTCCTTGTAGGGGTAATTCAGTGTTCTTTTAGAAAGGGCTTTACTGGAGTAAATCAGAGTTAGCAAACATTCCCAAAATACTGTTCGCACACACAGTGTAATTTCTACCCTTGGGGATTAGAGAAGATAGAAGAAACAGCATAGGCTAAAGACTTAATAGTATAGATATAATTACTGTTTTTGCACTATAAGACCTGCAACCTCAAAATCTTTTTTGAAAGCCATGGACTGGCCTTACCGAAAAATTCACCTGCACAAAAAATTTGAATAAAGTATTAGAAGTTAACAGAAGTCTGTTGATCCTAGTTAACCTCAGTATATATATACAAACATTTGAACTGAGTCTTAAAGATTAGTTGGAATTATCTGGGAGGAGGAGCTTGGAATATTGTATTAGGAGAGAGACTTCTCTCCAGAGTGATAGATAAAATGAGAAGATGAGGAAGTCAGACTATAAAGGAACTCTCTGTCCACAGTGCTGGGCATGTTATAGGAGCTTAATAAATATTGAAAAAAAATACCAGAAAGGCTGAGACTTTATTCTTTGAGGTTCTGAAGCAGGAAAAAGGAGATGTGGTTCAGTTCTGTAAGCATCTTTAGATATCGCTACTTGTCAAAGTTGCTGACAAAAAAAGATGGGTTTTGCCTTCTAGGGGCCTGTCATATACTCAAAGCTGCATATATGAAATATGTGTTCAGGAACGTCGGTTCTGGCAGTCACTAAAGTTTTACCCTGAAGGTTCTTAACTTAAAGGCCCTGGACTGGCCACTGGCGGTTTTAGGAACCCCTGGAAATTCAGCATATACCATAATTTATTGTTTAAAAGCATGTGAACTTGTGTTTTCTGGTGAGGGAAAACTTAACTTCCATCATTTTTTCAGAGATGTTTAACCCACCCCATCAGGAGGAATAAAGAGAGAAACTTTTTTTTTTCAATCTTTTTTCTTTTGACTGTACTGCACAGGTAGAAATACGTGACTCAACACACACCCAGATTAAATTGAAATCAAGTCTACAGGAGACTGACTATTCTTATTCTCACTACACCTGATGCACTAATTTCTATTGTTTTCCTTTTTATAAGAAAAGATATTCGGACTTAAATTAATTTCCCCTTCCATTAGTGGCTCACAGCACAAAGTTTACAAAATACCGCTTTTGTCAATACTAACGACAGCAGTCTACATTCAGTCGATGGGGGTGGGCCTAATGGGGAAAGAAGGAGGGGAGAACAGATACTGGGAAAAGAAAATGAGCTGTGTCTGATGTCAGAAATCACAGGCTTAAACTTTTGAATCTGAATAGGAAGGTGGCAACACTGATACTGTTCTCTGTGGGGAAGGTACATAGAGATGAGATTGAGGTAGATGTAAAAAAAAAAAAAATCTGCCTGAAGTACAATACCGTGTATCTCGCGTGTGTCAACCAGCTCTAGAGTAGGAAAGGCCACATCCTCAGGCTTTTTGCTTTGTCCTTCAGCACCTACCTCTGGTGTCTCTTCTGTAGTTTCCTCCTACCCTTCCTCTCCAGTTCCAGTGCCGTGTTTTCTGAGCTCCTTTGGTTCATTTATAGAGCATTTTATTTACTCAGCTAACTTTCAGGGACTACCTCTTATTTATAAGAGACAGCCATTGGTATAGATATTTTCACTTAAATGGAATTTTTACAATTTTTTGGAGATTTTATTGAATCCATTTCATTTACGAGGAAACTGATCCCTAGGTCCAGTGACATGTAGTCATTTGGTACATAGTAAAAATGGGGTTTCGACTCGGGTTTATTGACTTGAGGTCCAGGCCGCTCTACTGCCTGTGTCAACTCCCCTCCACTTGTTGTCTTTTCTTTTATCACCTGCTACTTTGCTTCATACCATTTAGCAGATGGTAAATTTTATTAAATATATATTTTAAAGATTTTATTTATTTTTAGAAAGAGGGGGAGGGAAGGAGAAAGAGAAACATCAATGTGTGGTTGCCTCTCATGCGGCCCCCACGGGGGACCTGGCCTGCAACCCAGGCATGTGCCCTGACTGGGAATTGAACCAGCGACCCTTTGCTTCACAGCCGGTGCCCAATCCACTGAGCTACACCAGCCAGGGCAGATGGTAAATTTTTTAAAATGTTTTTTCATTACAGTAAAGCTCCGTGAAGCAAAGATCTTTTTTGTCTTGTTCACCGTCGAGTCCCAAAATCTTACAAGTACCTGATAAGTATGTTTCAGTAAATACTTATTGAATTTAGATATGAATACTGGGCATGTTAAACACCAGAGGTTCACTGAAAAAAATTAGTTCCTCCCTGACCGGTATGGCTTGGCTGAGCATTGTCCTACAAACTGAAAGATTGCAGTTTCCACTCCAGGTCAGGGCACAGGCCTATGGTGTGGGTTAGGTCCCTGGTTGGGACGTGTGACGGGTAGCCTGTCTTGCATCAGTGTTTCTCTCTTTCTCTCTTCCCTTCCTCTTCTCTAAAAATAAGTAAATAAAAAAAATTTTTAAATAAAAAATTAGTTCACTGAAGAACTAGTTTTTATTCTTAGAAGTCTCTTATTGAAGATGGCCATCTATGCAAATAAGGACAGAGTGCTTTTTTAAAAGGGTGTCCAGCCCACAGGCCAAATGTGGCTCAGGATGGCTATGGATACAGCCCAACACAAAATCATAAATTTACTTAAAACATTATCAGATTTTGTGTGTGTGTGATTACATGTCACAGTGTGTTTAATGGGTGGCCCAAGACAACTCTTCTTCCAGTGTGGCCCAGAAATGTCAAAAGACTGGACACCCCGCTGGAAGATAAATGAGCACAAGATGCAGTGGTCCACAGAAGATACGATGCTTGCTTCTCTGATTACAGTAGATACCCATTCAAAAGGCATAAAGAAGATAGTAAATAGACTGTAAATTTCCACCTGCAAAAGTGACTGTTAGCATTTGAGAATGTTTAGTTTTAGTCCTTGTGTGTTTAACATAGTTAAAATCAGTTGCAAATAAAGCTGTTTCTTGATCTTTGCGTTTAGTTTGTCATAAGCATTTTCTCTTCATCATTAAACATTTTTCTTCTGCATGATTTGAATGAGAATATTTTTGCACAAATCCTTGACCTTTGTGTTTGCTAAAATGTCACTTCCGTAAGGCCATCTCTAATCCCTTATTAAAAATTGCAACTCATAGACAAAAGTACAGGGGTTACCAAAGGGAAGGAGGTTGGGGAGGTAATAAAGGGTTAAGGGAGCCAAAGAAATGGTGACAGAAGATGATCTGACTGTGGGCGGTGAACACACAATACAATATACAGATATGTATCATAATAATCTGCACTTGAAACCTGTGAAATCTTATCAACCAATACCACCCCAATGAGTTTAAACAGTTGCAACTCCCCTCCCCCACCCTTTATTTTCTGTTAGTAGTTTGCAATCTATTTTTCTCTGTTTCACTTTTTACCATTTGTTGATACTGTATATATATTTTTTCTTTTTTCACCTCATCTAAATATAAACTTCTCAAGGGGAATTTTCTTCGTTTTAATACTTCTGTATCCCTAACACTTAGAAACATGCGTGGCCCGTAGGAAGCACTAAAATACGTGTCGAATGGAAGAAATAGAATGAATTATTGGGCCAGTGAGTGAACATTTTTGATACACCTTGGCAAATTGCTTTTCTAGGACTGTTATATATAACATTTTAGACTTTAATTAATAATATGTAGGACTTCCGCCAAGATGGAGGCATAGGTGGATGTGCCGTGCCTTCTCACACAACAAAGTTTAGAGACAACTAAATATTAGCAACAGAAAACACAGCCAGAACACGGAAAATTGAACTTTTCGGAAGTCCGTTAACAACAAATTCTTCAGCCTGACCGGTAAGGGGCAAAACCAGCGGCTGGTGAAGCGGGATTACACAGGAGGACTCGGTCAGCCGGACTCAGGCGCGGAATCCAGACACACGGAATCCAGGCGCAGGGTTGGACCTAGTGAGCAACCCAGCAAGCCACCAGGCGAGCGACCTCGGGGGAGACAGCCGGGGAGCGGTGCTGCGTGTTGACTGTGGTCGCGCATTTGTGCGCGGGTAGACAGGCGAGGAGTGGGCAGTTGGACCGGGCCGGCGGGCCGCGGCATGTGGCAGTGGAGGGCGCCGCCATTTCCCCACTCTGACCCCACCTCCACATACAGTGTCATAACCCAGCGACTCTGAGTGGCCCGGCCCAGGTGAACCACCTAAGACACTAATCCTCACCCAGCTGTGAGAAACAGCTGAGGGGGTCGCCATTTCCCCGCTCTGACCACGCCTCCACATACAGCGTCACAACCCAGCGACCTGGGAGTCCAAGGCACCGCTTCTCACACTTAAAGGGCCAGAACAGACCAAAAATGTCGCAAGATCTCAAAGCCCCAGAGCCCATAGATCTAAGCGATGAAGAAATGGCAAAACTCTCAGACGCACAGTTTAAAACACTGGTCATCAGGATCCTCACAGAACTGGTTGATTATACCGACAAATTAGACAAATATATGAAGGCGAAACTAATTGAAATGAACGGAATTGCACAGGACACCAATAACAATGAAAAGGAAACTGGGACTCAAATCAATGGAGTGGACCAGAAGAAAGCAAATAATGGCCAAACAGAAAAGAGTGAAGAAGCAAGAATTCAAAGAAATGAGGAGAGTCTTAGGAACCTCCAGGACATCTTTAAATGCTCCAACATCTGAATTATAGGGGTACCAGAACAGGGAAAGAAACAACCACCAGTGGAAAACTTATTTGAACAAATAATAAAGGAGAATTTCCCCAATCTGGCAAAGGAAATAGACTTCCAAGAAATCCAGGAAGCTCAGAAAGTCCCAAAGAAGTTGGACCCAAGAAGGAACACACCAAGGCACATCATAATTACATTAGCCAAAATTAAAATGAAGGAGAGAATCCTAGAAGCAGCAAGAGCTAAGGGGACAGTCACCTACAAAGGAGTCCCCATTAGATTGTCAGCAGATTTCTCAAAAGAGACCTTACAGGCAAGAAGGGGCTGGAAAGAGGTATTCCAAGTCATGAAATCCAAAGACCTACAACCAAGATTGCTCTATCCAGCAAAACTTTCATTTAGAATGGAAGGACAGATAAGGTGCTTTTCAGATAAGATCAAATTCAAGGAGTTCATCATCACCAAGCCCTTAGTATATGAAATGTTAAAGGGACTTATCTAAGAAAAAGAAGTTAAAGAAACATGAACAGTGAAAGGACAACAAACTCACAGTTATTAACAACCACACCTAAAACAAAAGCAAACTAAAAGGACAGCTAGATCAGGAGTGGAAACATAGAAATGAAGATCTCAAGGAGGGTTAGCAACAGGGGAGTGGGAGGAGGAGAAGGGGGGAGAAGGTACAGAAAATAAGTAGCATAGACAGTAGATAGAAAATATATGGGGGGGGCCAAGAATAGCATGGGAAATATAGAATCTAAAGGAATTGAGACACATGGTCATAAACTAAAGGGGGGGTAATGGTGGGGATGGGGGGGTAGGGTGGAGGGGAATGAAGGGGGGAATAGAACAACTGTAACAGCATAATCAATAAAAATAAATAAAAAATAAAAAAATAATATGTAAATAATGCCCTTTTGTCTCAAGTTTTGGAGTTAAAATTATTGTTGGAAAACTAGCGTAGGTCGATCTGGAGGTTCTGTGGCATTCGTGGTAGAGAGGGAAGTCATTAGCAAAGACTTGGGAGCGTAAAGCAACATGATAAATTCAATGAGTTATAAGTAGTGTGTATAGTTAGAATGGGTGGTATAACAAATTCTATAAAGGGAAGTCTTTCACAAATATTAAAAGGTGAAATAAGATGAAGTATACTGTATATTAGGTCACTCTGGCAGCAAAATATTAAAAGCAGCAATTAGGTAAATATTGTTGGACTTGAGGTCAAGAAACGTGAAGACTGGGTTGTAGTTTGAGTTCTCATGACTACTGAACTCACCCATGGTGGTGGCAGGAAAGGGACAGCACTGTCAGAATCGTCAGTGAAAGTGGTATTGAGCCAGAAATTAATGAATGACAACAATAAAGGCATTAGGAACTTTGTAATTGACTTACATGAATCTCAAAGGAGGGGTTTGTGGTGTGGAATAAGAAATCCACTTCAGAGGATTACAACATCAGCAGTATCATTGAGATCTGTGTATATTATCATAGCTACTCCACAGATACTACTGGCTTTTCCCAAAACTAAAGTCACCTCTGAAAGGGAAGAGATTTCAAACCATTGATTAGGTTCAGGAAAATATGATGGGGCAGCTGATGATGATTGGGAGAACTGTGTGAGGTCACAAGGTGCCTGCTTTGAAGGGGACTTGAGGCATCAGTGTCTTGTACAGTGTTTCTTGTATCTTGTATCTTCTTCAGTAAATGCCTCTTTTTCATGTTACATGTTTAGATACCATCTGCACAGACCTCATACATACATAAAAATAGTTTCATACTCATTTGCCTATGTTTTAAATACTTTTTTGTTAAGAAGAATGATTCCTTTTAACTTTAATTTTCTTTAGAACACTTAAAGACTATATATCTCTTTTCCTTTTACTGAATTCCCTTTCATGAGCTGCCTCATTTTTTAGCTTTCCTTTAAAGCTGGGGATAAAGTCTGGACTGGTAACCCAAAACTTACTTCATTCTTTTCCAACTATTGGTAGACTATCCCCATCAAGAAGATTTTTGAATATCAATACATTAGGGTGACTGGTAACTCCTAATATCTTTTGTTTCATAAGAAAGTATAACAGCCTCGGCCTCACTTTTTTTTTAAAAGATTTTATTTATTTATATTTAGAGGGGAAAGAAGGGAGAAAGGAGAGAAACATCAGTGCGTGGTTGCCTCGCATGCGCCCCCTACCGGAGACCTGGCCCACAACCCAGACACGTTCCTTGACTAGGAATCGAAAGGGTAACCTTTTAGTTGGCAGGCTGGCACTTAATCCATTGAGCCACACCAGCCAGGGCCAAAAGTAGATCTCTTGATACAGTATCTTACAAGAATAAGGGATTTTTCTTCTCCTTGGGATTACTTCAACTGACAGGAGAAAATTGCAGTCAGCACTGAATAAAGTTTTTGAGTAGCTTAGTAGTAGTGTTCAGTGGACATCTGGTTGAAGAGTTCTCTGCATTAGTAGTAGAAACAAATTGGAGTGATTGCCTGGGTCTTGCCTGGGTCTACTGACTATATCAGTAGGCATGTCTGTACTGGTCCCTTCTTTTGGTAAATAGGCCTTCTGAAAATAGAGAAACTGCCAATCATATTAACCTTTCTTTCTGCCTTTCTGCCCCACCTACATTTGTTAATTCAAGAGATAAGCATACAACCTAACTTAGGCCAGCCTGAATCCATTATCAAGATTTTAAAATTAGAATTTGAGAAGACTACTTTTCCTTTCCTGGTACTTGACTACAGAGTTGGAAATAAGAAGCCACATAGGGAGTAGCTAAGGTAGGGAGATTCCCTTTTTTTTTTTAAAGATGTTATTGTTTGTTTATTTTGAGGGAGAGAAACTCAATTTGTGGTTGCCTCTTGCACCCCCACCAATGGGGGCCTGGCCTGCAACCCAGGCATGTGCCCTGACTGGGAATCAGACTGGCGATCCTTTGGTTCGAAGGCTGGCACTCAGTCCACTGAGCCACATCAGCCAGGGCAATTTTATATTCTTGACTACCTCATATAGAGAAAAGGCAAAAGTCAAAGTCAGCTAATCTTACAGGCTCTCAAGTCCATTTGAGGACAGCTTTACATTAAATTCAAATTAACCCTAATACATAAGAAATTGCCACTAGTGAAGAGCAATCATTCGTGAGATGATTCTAGAAATTCTTTCCACCTTCCAAATCAGTGCATTTATTTTGTCATTTTTTACAATATTTGATAATTTGTTAAATGGCTACAGTGATATGTTTGTTTACAGATAGGATTACCTTCATTTAAATTAATCAACTACTGATCTGTATTAGAGTTCTCCTTCTTAGGCTTCAGTATCTTTGAAAAGTGAAATTGGTTGATAGTTATTTTAAGTAGATATTTTTCAATATATGAAAGAATAATTTTATAAGCCCCTGTATAAACCCCACCAGTCTTCAGTACCTCTCAGTGCATGGCCAATTCTGTTTGGTTTATTCCTTCCCACCCCACCCATCTAACTGGATTGCTTTGAAGAAAATTCTAACTACCATAGAATTTCACTTCTAAATTCTTCAGTAAATATGTTTTTATGGGTATAATTATGAAAAGGCATCTTTTTATTTTTGGCAGGACATTTTTGCAGTTAGATCATGGCAACCATAGAAGAAATTGCACATCAAATTATTGAACAACAGATGGGAGAGGTATGTGTAGTTTATAGTTCATTCACTGATTCACCAAACTTAATTACACCAAATGTGTGTTCTAGGTTCTGCAGTACAGAGATAAAAGATACCCCCTACTTAGCTTTAATCTAGTAAGAGATAGTTAAATAATCGGACCACCTGAGTAGGATATGGTAAGTGCCGATAGTAGTTGTATAGGGTGTTATGGCAGCACAGAAGAAAACAGCCAATGAAGAATTGTGGGGGAGTGTGGGGACCTGATCCAGGAATATTTTTGGAGGGTACAAAATCTGAGGGCAGCCTTAATGGACCAGTGGGAGCAGATCCATGTCAATAGAGCTTCATTTTGTAGACAGTACATCCTACTGCTTACTAAAAGATACTATAATCCACAGGGTTTTCAGAGTATCATCTAGAGACTCTTGCAGAAAATCAGCAAAGTCAAAATTACTTTTGTAATAATACTAAAATATTATTTGCCTTTTCACTATCATTCTCTCACAGTATACGATAGAAATTTCCAGAGACTACATAACATGTGAGATTGTATGATGAAATATCAACATTCAAAAGGTGTACATAGCCACTGTTTCCCAGATGACCAATGCATGATGTTCCCTCATCACTCATGAGTAAAGGATCCGTTCAAATTACAGGATAGACTGATAGCTTTTTATATAGTTTCTGATTCCATATTGCAACAAACTTGTAGTTGCCACTTACCAGGTTTTGGTATAGTATCAAGATCAGTTTCTGCAGTGTGGAGAGGCTTAATATAAGATTCCTCCCCTTTTCAATCAATAAAGGTAAGGCTGGGTTTTCTTTTTTATTTCTTTTCTTTTATATTTTAACCCAAATAACATATTGCAACAGATTAAATGCAGAGGCAGATGTGAAATCTAGCTTCCATTAAGCTAGACAGTAACTCACATGAACAAAAGCCCTGTGGGACACTTAGTAATTTTTGAGTGGAATGGGATCCAGAGGCTGGGAAACTTTGTCCATAGTCTGTTAATCTGTTCACTGTTCTTTATTGAAGCCCATTTGGATTGCTTCAGTTTCCAGTTACAATTGCTGTGCTGCAGTAAACATCCTTTTACTCATCCAAGCAAAGTGTCCAACCCAGTTACAGTTGCACCGTGCCTGCACTTAATGCTGTTTTCTTTAAGAAATGAGGGTCAGCTGTTAGATTTTTATTCCATTCACAGTGAATATTACTGATAGAAATAATTTTAAAAACCCATAAAACAGCTTGAATTTTACATGGTAAAATTTGTTGTAGATGAACTGATGCAGAGTCACATCTTTGGGTGTCATTGACAACTTAAAAAAATTTCAGGGAGGATAGAGTGGACTTTGTAGAAATAATCTATATAAAATAAAATTGGCAACATTTAAAAACTGCACCTAGAAAAATAGGACAGGATGGAAATAATGCTCAGCAAAAAACTCAAATTGGCAGCAGCTATAATCAGTACAGTCTGCTCTGAACAAAAACGGATTAGTGATTCACAACTTTGTTGTAAATTTTGCATAGAAAGTAATCTTGATGGATTTTGCATAGAAAGTAATCTTGATGGACGTATTTCAGGGAACAGAAAAAGGTGAAAACAAACCAACTCTGCCATTTAAAAATTGAGTCAAAGAATTAAAATGGCTTAATGACTTTGCTCTAAAGTATTTGTGGAACAGCAAAAATCCTCGGTGCTGGGCTAATTCTCTTAATTCATGAATTTGCTCTTCCTCAGAGTACTCCATCTCGGTGGATGGCAATTCTTTCCTCCCAACTCCTCAGGCTAAAATTTTATAGTCATCCCTGACACTTCTCTCCTTATATTCCACATCCAGTCCATCAGCGTGTCACCTTTCCCTTCATAAATCACCCCAAATCCAGTTGTCCCCATGCCCCAGCATGGCTACTTCCCTGTTCTCACCCAGAATGTCTGCTGTGTGTAATAATACCCAGATGTTGCCAGTATCTGTGCAGTAGCATCTTGTCTCCCTTCATCCTGCTCTTACATTCACAATCTGCTCTTGACACTAAATCTAGAACGATCTTTTTTGAAGGTCTTGGCACTTCCTGCTCCGTAGACCTCCAGTATAGCCCCTTCCCCGTGGTGGGAAGTCCAGAGTTTGTTTGGTCTAGGAAGCCTTGTATGATCTGGCCCCTGCTGTCACTCAGACCCCTTCTTAATTATGTCACCATAATCCCCCTCTTCCACTTGGTTTCACTTACCCAGCTCTCTCGCCTGTGCGTCCTGCCTCGGGCCTGTCCAGCACACTTCTGCCGCACCACCTTCTTTTATGTTCTGTTTCCTCTACCCGGGATGTACTTCCCCTAGCCAGGCCTAAACCTTTGTCTGTTAATTCACTCAAGTCTGTGCAGTTCCATCAGTGACTTTCACCTTACCCTGCTTTAGTTTTCTTCATAGCACCTAATACCACCTGACAATAGTATTTGCTTATTTGGTTTTTATCTGTCTCTTCTCAGTAAAATAAAAGCTTTATGAGAACAAAGATTTTGTTTATTTCTCTTTCTCAGAACCCAGAACAAATGGTGCTTTGCAAATAGAATACACCAAAGACATGTTTGTCTAAATGGAAGGTGGAAGGGAAGGGGAAGGAAGGAATCAAAGTAGTGAGGTCTAAATGTTCTTACTACTATTGTACCTTTATTTATTTGCACACTGTTTATTTCTGAAAGATAGGATTTCATGGAAGTAGAATTACCAATTCAAAAGGCATGTGTGTGTGTGTGTGTGTGTGTGTGTGTGTGTGTGTGTATTATAGTGAGTATATATGTAATGGGTTGAAGGTATGAGAAAATTGTGTTCTTCAAGAAAAAAAAATTGAGTTGATTTGATTATTAATGCTACATGATTGCATTAGGTTGTTACAGAGCAGCAAACTGGCCAGAAAATCCAGATTGTGACAGCCCTTGAGCATAACACACAAGGAAAGCAGTTCATTCTGACAAATCATGATGGCTCGACTCCAAGCAAAGTCATTCTGGCCAGGCAAGATTCCACGCCAGGGAAAGTTTTTCTCACAACTCCGGATGCAGCAGGTGTCAACCAGTTATTTTTCACAACTCCTGATCTGTCTGCACAACAGCTCCAGGTAAATAACTACAGAGTATCTTTCCAGCTTATGCTTGAAAAGAATTAAGAAGCGTGTCCTAAATCCTGGCATTAAAACTTTAGGTCCTGCATGTTCAGTATGAAAAAAAAACTTCCATAAAATTATGTGCTGTGCAGATTATCTGTGGTGACTGCCCTCTCCTGTAGGCCACTGTACTTTTCTTTACATGTACTTAACACCCGTGTATTTTGGGGGTTCTTAGTTGCATACAGTAAGATCCACTCTGGCTATTTTGGCAGGAAGAGATTTAATAAAGAATATAGAGAAACCCTGGCCGGGTGGCTCAGTTGGTTGGAGCCTTGTCCCATACACCAGGAGGTTGTTGGTTCAGCCTTCAGTCAGAGCTCATACCTAGGTTGTGGGTTCCATCCCTGGTCATGGTGTGTTATGGGAGATAACCAGTCATTGTTTTTCTCTCTCATCTATGTCTCTGTCTCCCTCTCTCTCTCTCTCTCTCTCTCTCTCTCTGTGTCTCATCCTCTCTCCTCCCCCTTCTCTCTCCCTGTCACACTCCCTCCCTCCCTTCTTCTCTCTAAAAATCAGTAAACATATCCTCAGGAGAGAATTTTTTATTAAGAAAGTAGAATTTTAGAGAGCTCAAAGAATTGGGAAGGCTGAAGAAAACAGTTCCAGGTCAGGTTTCCAAAAATAACTACTGGAGCGCAGTTTAGAACTCAGTTCCCAGAGCCCTGCTGCGTCCGCACAGTTAACAAACTGCCAGGTCAGGAGGCTCTTCTGGGGCTGCGGTTTCCAGGACCGAGCTGCCTGTGCCTCCTCTCAAGCAGCTTCCAAATCCGGAAGTTGGTGGCATAGCTGCTGTCTCTGTCACCGCACCTCTCCTGTTGTCATCTGCATCTTGGTTGAGGTAGCAAGCCATCTGCTCTGTGGTCTGCTTTAATATTTTGGAACTCGGGAGTGCAGACTAACTGTACATTGCGTTGGTGCTATAATTTTTGCTAGTTATACGTGATTCTTCAAGAGCCAGTTAGGTTTTTTACATACTAATGTCTGTGGTTATGTAGATATTTTTACTGCTTTTTGCTACAATGAATACAAATGAAATGAACTCTTTAAGTTTACCTTCAGAGAGATTTTGGGGGGGTGCCCTCTTAAAATTGGATTCCTTATTTTTTAATAAAAAGCTGATCAAAGAAAATTCCTTATGGTAGTAAAAAACTTTTAATTTATAAAATAGAAAATCACCCTGGCTGGTGTAGCTCAGTGAATTGAGCACGGGCCTACAATTCAAAGGATCACGGTTCGATTCCCAGTCAGGGCACATGCCTGGGTTGCAGGCCAGTTCCCAGCAGGGGAACCCATGAGAGGCAACTATACATTGATATTTCTCTCCCTCTCTTCTTCCCTTCCCCTCTAAAGATAAATAAATAAAATTAAATTTAAAAAAAGAAAGAAAATCTTGCCTATACATTCTAATAGATTCTATTCTTTCAATTACAATTACATCATTTTACAAGCTGCTAAGGTCCTAAAACAAGACAGCCATCACTAAAAACAATTACAACATGCATATCTTTATTTTATTAATAGATTTGATTTTTTAGAAGTTTTACATTTTAAATGTGTGAAGTAGTTACTCTATAGAGTTCCCATATAACCTCCCAACATACAGTTTCTCTTGTTAGCATTTTTGCATTAGTATGATACATTTGTTTTAATTAATGAACTTGTACTGATATATTATTAATGAAAATTAATAGATATTTTTAGCTTTCCCTAATTTTTCCCTAATATTCTTTTTTGTTTCAAAGTGGCGTATGCAGTTAGGTGCCGTGTCTCCTTAGACTCCTCTCCACTGTCACAGTTTCTCAGCCTTCCCTGGTGTTGGGCGGCCTTGACAGTTCTGAGGAGTGCTGGTCAGGCACAGTGGGGGTCGCCCCACTCTGACACCTTGGCTGGTCTTCTCCTGTTAGATTGGGGTTGTTGGTTTGGGGGACGGGGTAGCACAGATGAAGTACCATTTTCATCACATCATATCGAGGGTACCTAATGTCATCATGCTTTATGATTGGTGACGTTAACCTTGACCAGAAGAAATGTGTGTCACCTTTCTCCGTTGTAAAGTTACTATTTTTTGTAAAGTTTCTATAGTATAAAAATAAAGGTAATATTGGTATTTTATGGATCATAGCTGAAAGCAATGAAAGAGAAACAAATAGGATGGAATTCCCTGTGCCAAGATGATTTGGTTTCTGGTTTAGGGACCTAAGATGGCATGTGAGCAAGTCCCTTACTCTCTTATGCCATTGGAAATAAGTAGCAGGTACAATTTAGCACCATTTGCAATAGATAAACTATTAAGGGAAAGAGTAATATTTGTCTTAGATACTTTTAAAGAACATCTAATACCAGAGTGTGGGTCTTTTTTTTTTATTGGCTGATTTTTATGGTGATATAAAAAGAAATAATACCACTATGACATAATAAAGGACAGCTATTTTATGGACTGTTTAAAGTTTTTAAAATCAGAATTACTCCTGAAGGCATTCACACTCCTTCAAGAAGAAAAAGAGTCAAAGTAGATAATTACTTTGTGAGTTGTTATGAAGCAGGGAGGTGGTGTTCACGAGATGCTATATCACATTTTTGGGGGTGAATTACTTTGTTCACTTTTCAAAGGATTGAAGGAAAATGATGAAAAGGTTGAAGGATAAACCTAAAAGCAGAAATGAGTATTTCTTTACTAGCATTAGCTGTCCTTAGTGATGAGCCCCGTATACAATCTAGAGGCTTGGTAGTTACCCAAGGCAGTGCCAAGGTTGGGCTTTTTGCTGATTATCAGACTTCAGAGTCTGTGCTCTCGACCACTTCTCCAGCCCACACCTGCGGTAGCCCACTGATGAAACGTTTATGCCTTTGTGTATCAGTTATATTCCCATGATTGTAAGCTAATGCATCATCAACATTGTTTTCCTCATAACTCGTTTTCTTTAAAACAATTTAGCGTTATTTTTTATGCCATTGGAGCATATTCTAATCATTCCATTTGGAAAGGTTCTAAGTTGTTTGAAGACAAATGCCTTTTTTTAAAATTTATTTATTTTATTAATTATGCCATTACAGTTGTTCTATTCCCCCCCCTTCATTCCGCTCTACCCTACCCCCCGTCCCCACCATTACCCCCCCTTTAGTTTATGACTATGTGTCTCAAGTTCTTTAGATTCTATATTTCCCATACTATTCTTGCCCCCCCCATCTATTTTCTATCTACTGTCTATGCTACTTATTTTTTGTACCTTCTCCCCCCTTCTCCTCCTCCTACTCCCCTGTTGCTAACCCTCCTTGAGATCTTCATTTCTATGTTTCCACTCCTGATCTAGCTGTCCTGTTGCTAACCCTCCTTGAGATCTTCATTTCTATGTTTCCACTTCTGATCTAGCTGTCCTTTTAGTTTGCTTTTGTTTTAGGTGTGGTTGTTAATAACTGTGAGTTTGCTGTCCTTTCACTGTTTATGTTTTTTTAACTTCTTTTTCTTAGGTAAGTCCCTTTAACATTTCATATAATAAGGGCTTGGTGATGATGAACTCCTTGAATTTGATCTTATCTGAGAAGCACCTTATCTGTCCTTCCATTCTAAATGAAAGTTTTGCTGGATAGAGCAATCTTGGTTGTAGGTCTTTAGATTTCATGACTTGGAATACCTCTTTCCAACCCCTTCTTGCCTGTAAGGTCTCTTGAGAAATCCGCTGACAGTCTGATGGGGACTCCTTTGTAGGTGACTGTCCCCTTATCTCTTGCTGCTTCTAGGATTCTCTCCTTCATTTTAATCTTGGCTAATGTAATTCTGATGTGCCTTGGTGTGTTCCTTCTTGGGTCCAACTTCTTTGGTACTCTCTGAGCTTCCTGGATTTCCTGGAAGTCTATTTCCTTTGCCAGATTGGGGAAATTCTCCTTTATTATTTGTTCAAATAAGTTTTCCACTGGTGGCTGTTTCTTTCCCTGTTCTGGTACCCCTATAATTCAGATGTTGGAGCATTTAAAGATGTCCTGGAGGTTCCTAAGACTCTCCTCATTTCTTTGAATTCTTGCTTCTTGACTCTTTTCTGTTTGGCCATTATTTGCTTTCTTCTGGTCCACTCCATTGATCTGAGTCCCAGTTTCCTTTTCATCACTATTGGTTTCCTGTGCAATTCCATTCATTTCAATTAGTTTCGCCTTCATATGTTTCTCTAATTTGTGGCTATAATCAACCAGTTCTGTGAGGTTCCTGATCACCAGTGTTTTAAACTGTGCGTCTGAGAGTTTTGCTATTTCTTCATCACTTAGATTTATAGACTCTGGGTCTTTGAGATCTTCTTGAGCCATTTTTGGTCTGTTCGCGCCCGTTAAGTGTGAGGAGCGGAGCCTTGGACTCCCAGGTCGCTGGGTTGTGACGCTATATGTGGGGGCGTGGTCAGAGCGGGGAAATGGCGGCCCCCTCTGCTATTATGTGTCGCTGGGTGAAGAGCAGAACCTTAGGTGGTTCACCTGGGCCGGGCCACTCAGAGTCGCTGGGTTATGAGGCTGTATGTGGAGGTGGGGTCAGAGCTGGGAAATGGCGGTGCCTGCCACTCGCTGCAGGGACCCACTGGGTCCCGGTCCAATCGCCTACTCCCTCGCTTGTCTATCCACGCACGGATGCGTGACCACAGTCAACCCGCAGCCCTGCTCCCTCGCTGTTTCCCCACGGTTGCTCACTGGGTCTCTCACTAGGTCCAACCCTGCGCCTGGGTTCCTCGCGCCTGAGTCTGTCTGACTGAGTTTTCTTGTGCAACCCCGCTCTGCCAGCTGCTGGTTTCGCCCCTTACCAGTCAGGCTGAAGAATTTGTTGTTAACAGACTTCTGAAAAGTTCAATTTTCCGTGTTCTGGCTGTGTTTTCTGTTGCTAATATTTAGTTGTCTCTAAACTTGGTTGTGTGAGAAAGCCCGGTGTCTCCACCTATGCCTCCATCTTGGCGGAAGTTCTGAAGACAAGTGCCTTGATGGGACTAATAACTGCTGTGATAATTTGATGTGTTTTGTATGAATATTAAAGGCTGAGTTTGTGAGATGTATTAAAACTACTTATGTATTCATGTGTTTAATAGTCTGTTTACTTAAATTATTATGAAACAAATGTAAAAGATCTGTCTTTGCTTCTTATAACATTGAAATTTCTACCTGTTAAGAAAATTACAAATAGCTTAATTGGTATATGCATAATAATGTTAAAAGTTTCAGAATAACTTACAAAAAAGAAAGCAGAAAGTAAGACTAACTGAATGTCCTTTTAGTTTTTTTTACATGAACTCATTATCGAATAATAACAAATTACTGTGTTTTGTTTTTATTTGCCGGGGGTGTTTATTTAGCTCTTAACAGATAATTCTTCAGACCAAGGACCAAATAAGATTTTTGATCTTTGCGTAGTATGTGGAGACAAAGCATCAGGTAACATTAAAAATGCCTTCCTATCTGTGTTGTGTTGTTAAAATAACTACCACACTACCGTGTTTCTTTTACTGACAGTAACACGAGAAAACAAAGGAGCGTGTAGTTTTCATGGTTCATATTTGTAGCCATGGAATTTAACTGATTTTTTTCCCCAGAGCTTTTTATTCACATAAAGATTTTTCTCTCCATTGCAGTTTCTTGCAGTGACGTAAAATGTGTATTTCAAAGAATTATCAAAGTTAACCTTTTGAAAGTCAACTGAATGTGTGGAAATTTTTTTGAATATAACAGTTTTGTCAAAGAATTGCTTAAAAATGAGTTGTGATTCTTAGTAATATATAATGTTAAGTTATTAACCTGCCTGTTGAGCCCTGTTCTCATTCTAGGAATACAAAGTAACTGGAATTAATAAGGTGGAAAGCTCTGGTTATCTTTATTTAATTCTTTGCATAGCTCAGCAGGCATTTCCCCAAACCTATTACTAGTACTCAACATTAAGTCATCTTAGTTCTGGCCAGAAATACGAACCCACATTCATTCATCTGTATTCACAAGTGCCGTAGGGATATAGTTTAAGGGCACAGGGTTTTTTTATTGTTTTCTTTAATCTATTCCTATAGCTTAATTACAAAGATCTTCAGTGGAGCTTTCCTCAGAGTGTGTTCAATTTGTAATAATAGATTTTGTGCCAGAGAAACAGTTTGTGAAATGATAGGTGAATCAAGAGTGCAACAGATATTTCCAGAGATTTAAAAAGTGGAACCCACAGTGAGGAGGAATTACTATCATTCAAATACCAATGAACTGATATACCTGTTTTTAGATTGCAGTTTTCAGATTAAAATATATTTTTACACTAATTGACAAGTATAATTCGTGATATCAGACCTGAAAATAGTTACTATGTTAAATTATGGGGTTCTGAGTGATTTTGTTTCTTCTCTTTCCCCAATTTTCTATACCATTGTTGAGATTACTTTATAAAATTTAAAAAATTCATGTTGTTTAATATATCCTATCAGAGAATATGGTTGCTTCATTTTCTGTTTGGTAATTCCTAAATTTTTTCTTATGTCATAAACTAGGAAATCTCAGTTTTATCTCATATATGTTGTTTAAAGTGAAGAAATGGGCTTATGAAAATATGTGACTTTTCTAAATGTTTTGTCTCTAGGGCGTCATTATGGAGCAGTAACTTGTGAAGGCTGCAAAGGATTTTTTAAAAGAAGTATCCGAAAAAACTTAGTTTATTCATGTCGAGGATCAAAGGACTGTATAATCAATAAACACCATCGAAACCGCTGTCAATACTGCAGGTTACAGAGATGTATTGCGTTTGGAATGAAACAAGACTGTACGTATTAGCTTTAAAGGAGAAAATTAAGGATTCAGGAAAACTCTAGAAGTATGTTAAAATTAGCACATTAAAATGTCAGTTTTACATGCTTTTTAATTTATAGCTTTCCAACTTAAAATATCGAAATATGTACATATGTATGTATTTTTAATTCATTCAACAAATATTTATCGAGTGGCTATATGCCACTTGCAGATCTGCAGTTTGAACATGGTAAAAAAAAAGCACAACTAACTAAATAAATTTAGTTGTTTTTAAAATATATATGTATTTTAAATATTTTATTTATTTTTAGAGAGAGGGGAAGGGAGGGAGAAAGTGAAGGAGAGAAACATCAATGTGTGGTTGCGTCTTGAGCACCACCTACTGGGGACCTGGCCCATAACTGAGGAATGTGTCCTGACTGGGAATTGAACCTGTGGTACTTTGGTTCTCATGTCAGCACTCAGTCCACTGAGCCACACCAGCCAGGGTTAAATAAGTTTAGTTTTTGATAGCTAATGTGGATTGAGCTAATATTGATTGAGTTTTTGTAGTGTATGAAATAAGTTTCTTAATCTCATAGCAAAAGTCTATACAGTTGGTACTACTGTTACCCACTTTACAATATGCATAAACAAATTTAGTAATTAGTCCAAGGTCACACAACTAATAAGTGGCAAAACTTGGATTTGAATGTTGTTGGCTTTTTTCCCTCAGAAAATGTGCATTTAACTGTACAAACAATATCTCCTTAATATCATGAAATATAATTTTTATAAAATAAGTGAAATATATTTTATAAATGAAGACTAAGTAGTTGAATTATTTCTCAAACTGCCCTCAACCAAAAGGGGGAAAAATCTAACTGGTCTTTTTTGTGGCTCTTACTAGTATTGTTTTTAAATGGTTAAATATGATTTCATTTTATAAAACTCTCATACAGATAAGTAAAGGGACTCCTGACTTCACTTTTCATTCAGTTCCTCTACATTTCTTCCACAGCAGTGAGAGGAAGAGACAAGAGAACGAGAGATGCAAAATGGCCATTTTTACTGTTTACTATTAGTTTTCTAAAGCAACTTTGTTAAATGTGCAGATAATTTTGAAGATTGGTGGTTGGTTATTGTTGGGTTCAGTTATGGAAACCATGTCTCCCATGAGCAGCATTGCTGACCTAGAGCTTATACTTATAATTGTCTGTAAATTCTGCATTGTGACATAGTCTAACACATTTTTGTAGCTGTTCAGTGTGAAAGAAAACCCATTGAAGTATCACGAGAAAAATCTTCCAACTGTGCAGCTTCAACAGAAAAAATCTACATTCGAAAAGACCTTCGAAGCCCATTGGCTGCAACTCCCACTTTCGTGACGGAGAGTGAAACCGCAAGGTGGAGTAGAAACACCACGTAACACGTGCTGCGCAGCTGGCCACTCGTTTGTCTTCCAGCTGAAACTAAGGCTAAAATTTGTTTTTATTTGTCACAGGTCAACGGGACTGTTAGAGTCAGGAATGTTTGTGAATATCCATCAGCCTGGAGTAAAAACTGAGTCAGCTGTGCTGATGACGCCAGATAAGGTGTGGTTGGTGCAATTAAAGATTAAATATTTTTAAGCTTTTAAAATGGTTTCCTTTTCTTTATCTCTATCAATTTAGTCAGTTGACTTGATTTTAAATATTTTCTGTTACAAGTTGTTGGCTTTTTAAAAAAATATAAATTGTCAACTGTTTGGTAGTGTCAAATGACAAAACTAAAACAATTTAGCAGTGAGCTTGGTGCTCTTTCTTGAAAGGAAAATAATCCATGCATTGGGGAATACAGTGCCTCATAAGCAGTGGAACACTCTTTCCCATGGAGGATTTGGGGCAAGATTGAGTTTTCTAGAGAGTCAGAAGCAGCAGCAAGGAGCAGGGCATGGTTGGCTGCAGGGTCAGGGATTTCCTTTTAAGGCGAGCTGGTCCTGTTTTCCTAGGTTCAGATAAGCTAGCCAAGCTGAGTTGGAAGATTGTGACTGGTGTTACGATAGCTTTCCTTGATTTTTCTGTAAGTACAGGCTGACTTTGTTAAGATTTGTGGCAGAAGGGGGCCCACTATGCTGCCCTCCATTTTGTGGATACAAATACTATAAAAATTAACTTTATCAGTACTAATGTTTATTACTCCACTAGGACAATTATAGCTTCAATGTGAAAGTGACAAACATTTAAAAGTATTTCAGGTGGTTTTTCATCTTGAAATAAAAGTCCTCCTAAATAGATACTTATAATACATGAAAAATTTTAATACTTCTTTTATATTGCACTACAGATTTTACAGTGCCAAGAGAAATCCTAACACACCTGACTCAAATCATGGACTTGAGTGAACAGTAGGAATAGGATTGCAAGAGCTCTCCTGTTATGTGTCCAAGTCATCTGGGTTCTCTTGGAGTAGGGGTGTCAAACTCATTTTCACTGGGGGCCACATCAGCCTCGCGGTTGCCATCAAAGGGCCAAAATAGTTTTAGGACTGTATACATGTAACTACTCCTTCACTGTGAAGGAGTTGAAATTACATTCGGCCCTTTGAAGGCAACCGTGAGGCTGATGTGGCCCCCGGTGAAAATGAGTTCGACACCCCTGTCTTAGAGATTTGGAGCAGCTCCTTATTGAGCAGGGAGTTTAAAGGGGAAGAAAGGTTTGTTTATTTATATCAAGCATATGAAATTTCTGTAGTCTTCAGAAACTCCCTGATGAGAACAAAAAATTTTCTCCTGAGGACTCCCATCTGAAAACAGATTTTAGGGAGCCCTTATGGCTTGTTCCTCTCGGCCTGTAACGTGATCTGGTTTTATATACCCTGTAAGATTGTTCATCCTATCGCCAAATTTGTTATATATTTGTTGCTGGATACTTGAAGGCATTCTTAATACTTGCGCTTTTGAATCAAATTTCAGCTGCCACTTGCTCAACCTTGGGCAGGTTATTTGACCTCTCAGTGCCTCACTTTCCTTTTTCATCTGTAAAATAGGGAGAGTGAGAGTGTCTGCCTCACTGGTTGGCTTCTGCATGTTGCTACTAAATGAGAGATTTGGCCTCTTAGCACACACTTTGGAGTTACAAGATTTTACTTAGCCTTGTTGATATGATTCAAGATTACGTTGGTAGTTACAATTTCTTTGACACATTAATTCCTTTGGGAAAGGAAGAGAATTAAGTTTTGTTCAGAAATTACTGTTTGACCAGACATTGTGCATTCCTATATATCTTTGTATTAAATTGTAATAGCATTGCTTCTCGGCCTTTGGCTGAGGTCAAGTGTAGTGTCTGTTCTTACCAGTTTAATATCTGATATGTCCTCTATTGGAGGACAATATACTAAATGGATTTTTGGAGTTAGGAGATGGAACAGGGGCTTCACTCCACACATCGACCTAGTATTGCAGTACTTCCAGGAACAGTGCACCAAAAAAATAAAAATGATAAAAGAATTACAGTAACAACCTTGTGTGGTTTCTGACAAATGGTTCCCAAATTGTCAAGTCAGAGATTGAAGTCTTTCCACATTGCATAAGAGTAGCAAAACTTCAAAATTTAGTTACATAGACATATTATGAAATGGAAGAGAATGTAAGTGTTAGTTGAAAATTAAGACACCTAAAACTGTGACACCCTTTTACTCATGTGAGAGGACTGGAGCAGAATGGTTAGGAACATGGGCTTTCCCACCAGACCTGACTTCCCACTCTGCTTCCCCTGTTTACTGCTGTAGTGACAATGGGGAATTCTGGTCAGCAGTAAAGGGGTGATGATTCCTGTTTCACAGGGTTGTGGGCAGGATTAAATAAAATACTGGGTTGGCCAAAAAGTTTGGGGTTTTTTTATCCTGTAAGATGGCTCTAGTAGTGCTTAGTTGTCTTTAACTTCATTCAAAATAGTTTTGTTAGATTGCGTTATGACAGGCTGTCATATCAATGTGCATTTTTAAAAACATTTATTTTTAGGGAGAAGGGAAGGGAGGGAGAAAGAGAGAAAAAAACTGTGTGTGGTTGCCTCTCACATGGCCCCAACTGGGGACCCGGCCTGCAACCCAGGCATGGGTCCTGACTGGGAATAGAACTAGTGACCCTTCGGTTCACAGCCCGTGCTCAATCCACTGAGCTACGGGCCAATTTATCAAAAATGATGAATTTTTGTGTAGCTATTGTAATATTGAAGATGGAAGAAAATAAGTAACATTTTTGGCATATTATACTGTATTATTTAAAGAAAGGTAAAAACACAACTGAAACACAAAAGATTTGTGCAATATATAGAGAAAGTGTTGGAACGGATCAAACATGTCAAAAAAAGTGGTTTGTGAAGTTTTGTGCTGGAGATTTCTCACTGGATGATGCTCTACAGTTGGGTAGACCAGTTGGAGCTGATAGCGATCAAATCGAGACATTAATTGTGAACAGTCAATGTTATACCACATGGGAGACAACTGATATACTCAAAATATCCAAATCAATCAAGTTTTTGGTGAAAATGAAAAATGCATCTTTTACTTTACAACTGAAGAGTGGGTGGTTTGATTCCCAGTCAGGGCACATACCTGGGTTGCAGGCCAGGTCCCCAGTGGTGGGCTCACAAGAGGCAACCACACATTGATGTTTCTTTCCCTCCCTTCATCTCTCTCTAAAAATAAATAAATAAAATGTTTTTTAAAAAACCCACATCATTAAGGGATCCTGTCAATGTGCCATAGAAGGCAATAGAAGGCCTCTCATTAGGTTAGGATGAAATAATTTGAGCATTTAAAATAAAATAGAATGACTAATGGATTTAAACACATCAACTATGTCAAAATCTGTGAAATTAAAATGATACTCCAAACTCATCTGTTACCATTAGAGATTTCTAGGGCATTGACGTAACTGCTCTGAACATTGATAAATAGAAGAGCAATCAAGCACGTATCTGCCTTTGTCATATAAATTATATCTCTGGGTAGTCAAGAGTTAAGGAAATTCTCTTATAAAATCATAGCTAATAATATAAATAATATGCAGATATATACATCATTAAGAAAAATAAGCTGAAGACAGGAAAATAAGCAATGTGTAACATAGTATCTTAAACATGTAAATAGATTTTTCAATGATACATTTCCTGGTATTTAACATATTTAACACAGTAGCTGGTAAAAGTTGGGATCCTAGGAAGTTTGTTCAATAATTTACTTTTTTTTCTTCTTTTCACTAATACTTTTATTACATTCTGTGTAACTTTATATAATATGTCTTGGAAATTATCAGAATTTTAATACTAATAAAGGATCATCTAATTTAATATCCTTTTACTAGAGGAAGAGGCTGTGTAGTGTCATTTTTGGTTTGAAGTAGCTTTTATATAAACATTTTGTACAAACATAGGAAATGTACATGATGTTTTTAAACGGTTTTTCCTCAAGAAGTTTCTATATGCTCAAAGCTCTTTGATTTACTTTTTAGGTTTCATCTCAATCTAAGTACTTTTCTTTGGTCCTTTTATAATCTAGAATTGGATATTTCAGATTTAAAGGTTTATTGATACTAACTTGCAGAGTTTTAATACCTTTCCTTTTTTTTTTTTTTTTTAAGGCTGAATCGTGTCAGGGAGATTTAAGTACATTGGCTAGTGTGGTTACATCATTAGCAAATCTTGGAAAAACTAAAGGACTTTCTCAAAATAGTAGTAAAATGTCTGTGATTGAAGGTTTAAGCAATGGTGATACCTCTTTGTGTGAATTTAACCAAGAAATGCATACCAATGGTGATGTTTCAAGGTAAGGCCTGTTTTGATCTTAAATGTCCTTTAGCTTAAGTGTCCATCAGTATTTCTTACAATATTTATATATTGAATACTATTTATAGAAATTTCAGAAAACAAGTATTTCTATTAGAAAATTAAAGGGATAGTAAGTTTTAACTGCATTCAGTGTCAAGTGTTTTCCAGTAAGTTACATTCTAAGTAATCAATAAGTGAACACTGTAAGCTAGAATGTAGTCATAAATTTCAGGAATTTTTTCCCACTAAAGATGATAATACCAGTCTAACATTTTAGATAGTGTAGTTGCTAGTTTTTATCTTCTGTGTATTTAGAGTTAAACATTTGTTTTATTATGCAAGTCATTTATTTTCCCTACCAGTTTTTAATGATGAAATCGGTTTAAAAACTTAATTGAACAAACTACATTTTTTAAGTTATACTTCAGGAAACTTCTCAATTCTGCTTTTCGTTCTCTCAATATTAATAGTTAGAATGTGGAAATCAGATTTCTTCAGGTTATTTTCACGCTCTGTTCATCACCTAAAAATATTGAAGAAACTACCTTTGAGAGTCTCAGTAAATACTTCATTGGACAACGGCTTTTAAGGAACTCTAGAAAGCATCTCATTAAAAAATATGGGGAACTATTTTGAAAAATTATTTTCTCCCATTAGTTCATTATTTGCCATCCTAATCTCAGATTCTTACAGTTTAGATGTAGCTATATAACCATAGTTTAAAAATATTCTCTGAATTTTTAAGTAAAATTAAAGCCTAACTTTGTATTATATAGAATAAAGTCAACATAAATTCTAGCCCTTGTTCTTTCTAAATAATTGCTCTTTATAAAGTAAATGGGCTGATATCTTGTAGTAACAACTACATAGCTTATAAAAGCATATTTTCATACCAAAGTATAAGGAATTTCCTTCCCCTTAATTACATAAGATTTTTAAAAGACTAGTTCTTTGGTAATATATTAATATATTTTTCATATCATACATATGAAGTCTTAATTTGTTTTTGGAGAGTCATAAATATCACTGAAATAGAGTGTTCAGTGATACACCAAAATTTTATTTTCTAAACGGTTTTTTAGGCCTAAATCTTAATTCCAGAATTTTATGTAGAACTTTTACTTAATTGTGGAGATTGGCCAAGCTCACAGCTTCTGATGTCTCCTTATAGGGCATTTGACACTCTTGCAAAAGCATTGAATCCTGGAGAGAGCGCAGCCTGTCAGAGCTCAGTAGAGGGCATGGAAGGAAGCGTACACCTAATTGCTGGAGACTCGAGCATAAGTTACATCGAAAAAGAGGGGCCACTTCTCAGCGATTCACATGTAGCTTTCAGGGTATTTCCATATATATGTTTTATAATTTTTATGTTGTATTATCCATTTTGATTTTAATCTTCCTTTCAAAAATCAAAGTATATTTGTTGTGCTTTTAAAAGTCAGAAATATCCCTAATAGAATTCAAAACATAACTAAAACATGTACATTTGCCTATATAAAATAATGGCTTAATAAATCCTGTTTATAAGTCATAGTGACATCAGTTAATGGGTTAAGTCTGTAAAAGTTAGCTTTTAGAACATTTATACATATGTTTTTTACTTTAAATATTGACATTCACGATGTGTCAAATGCACTGGTTTTTATCTGGGAACACTCATCTCCCAGGTGGCACCAGCAGGATTGCCTCACCCAGTGCTCTTCTCACCCTGTAACCGTCTGAGTTTAACTCCATGGCCTAATTGGAAAGAGCATGTAACATACAGGATTGATTGCTCCTTACACTGAATTGGTTGCATACCATTGTTAAGAAAGAAAGGGAGGAAAGGAAAAAAAAAACACATTGTTAGACCAAGACAGAAAGTAACTTTAAAAAACATCATCAGATGATATCATGGTTGGTATTTATTATGTAGGACTCTGCTCGTCTGAATATTGCTTTAGAAACGATGATCTACTCATTTATTTTAAATCCTATTTGTAGCTGTAAAATCCAGTGACCTAGATTATTTCAAGACTTGCCTTTGCTAACTCTATTAGATTCATATGTAATATGTTTACATTTAACTTCCTCAAAGAAATGACAATTTGGAACTGTCAGTCCTAAGAGAATTTCCCTCAATGCCTGTCCACACTAGCTCACCATGCCTTCTCCCATGCCGGAGTACCTGAACGTGCACTACATCGGGGAGTCTGCCTCCAGACTGCTGTTCTTGTCCATGCACTGGGCACTTTCCATTCCTTCCTTCCAGGCTTTAGGGTGAGTGTTGTGAAGTCTTAAACATGTGATTTTGTAGCACTAATGTACATTCAGCAAGAAATTTTATTTTGGGAGGATCTATATTAAAGGAAAAAAAGTTATAGCATAAGTTTTTAAATTTTGTCATTTATGTTACAAATCATGGCAGCTAGTATTTTCTGTATTTATATTTATGTGGAAGAGTGTCCACATTTCATAATTTGAGTTGCTTAACAATTCGAATGGGATATGTGCGGTAGAGCTGGTAAATTACGGCCCGCATTCCCAGTAGGCTGTCCCTGAAGGACTTAAAGATGGGGAGCCTGCAGGGACGTCCCAGGGTTTGTTTCCCTCCGACCACTAGTGTTCATCTCAGGCATTTGAATAAGGAGCTGAAACTTGTTAGCAGTGAGTGTGTTTAGAAATAGAAATAGCTGTTTTCCAATCACGTGATTGGAAACAAAGAAAAGGAAGAAAATGTAAACTCATAGTACCACTGTGATAATTTAGAACTTTGGTTCTTCTGCTGAATAGCACATCTATATTCTGTTTTCAAGTAATCAGGTGTTAGTGAAAATGGTCTACTATAAGAAACCCAAGCTTTACCTAAAGTTTGCCAAATTTATTTAGATAACTCTAAGGTAACTGGAATAAAGAAGCAAAGAAACCATGGAAACTGTTAAGCCCATAATTAGAAAAAGATTATTCTAGTGACGGGATCCTTGTTCTAGTTACAGGCCTCTACTCACCATTGTGATTTTGTAAACAATTCACTTTCATATTCTATTCATTTGTTTAAGGAATAAGAACATAAAATAAAGAACATAAAATTTATCATATTTATTTGATAAATGTGTCCATCCTTTATTCTTAGAGAAGACTTTAATGTAACTAAGAAACATATTTGAATTATGACTTTTTTCCTGTCATTTTTTTAGGTCCATTTTATTGATTATGCTGTTACAGATGTCCCAGTTTTTCCCCCTTTGCCCCTCTTTGTGTGGTAGCACCTTTCCCTCCAGCAGTCCCCCCTTAGTTCATGTCCATGGGTCATGTGTGTAAGTTCTTTGGTTTCTCCCTTTCCTGTACTATTTTTAACATCCCCTGTCTATTTCGTTCCTACTAATTATGCTTCTTAATCCCTACACCATTTCCCCCTCCCAGCTGATAACCTTCCATGTGATCTCTATATCTATGATTTTGTTCCTGTTCTGGTTGTTTGCTTAGTTTTTTTTTAGGGTCAGTTGTTGATAGTTGTGACTTTGTTGTCATTTTAAATATTCATAGTTTGAATGTTCTTCTTTTTCTTAAATAACTAACTCCCTTTAACAGTTCATGTTAACAATGGCTTGGTGATGATAAATTCCTTTAATGTTACCTTCTCTGGGAAGCACTTTATCTGCCCTTACATTCTAAATGATAGTTTTGTTGGACAAAGTATTTTTTGGTTGTATGTCCTTGCCTTTTCTTGCCTGCAAAGTTTCTAACTTTCTGCTTTTTCTCTTGCTTTTAAATTCTCTCTTTATCTTTCACTTTTGGCATTTTAATTATGATGTGCCTTGGTATAGTCCACTTTGGGTCCAACTTGTTTGGGACTCTCTGTGCTTCCTAGATTTGTATGTCTAATAGATTTGTATGTCTATTTCCTTTGTCAAATTAGGGAAGTTTTCTTTCATTATTTTTTCAAATAAGTTTTTGATTTCTTGCTCTTCCTTTTCTCCTTCTGGCACCCCTGTGATTTGGACATTGGTACAGTTTAAGTTGTCCCAGAAGTTCCTAAGCCTCTCCTCATGTTTGTTTTTTTTGTTTGTTTTAAATTTTTGTTTCTTCTTTCTGTTCTGGTTGAATGTTTATTTCTTCCTTTTGTTCCAAATCATTGATTTGAATCCCAGCTTTCTTCCCTTCACTGTTGGTTCCCTGTAGATTTTATGTTACTTTGTGTAACGTTCATTTCTTCCTTCGTTTTATAGCTGTACTCAGTATCTCTGAGCATTGTGATAACCAGTGTTTTGAACTCTGCGTCTCATAGGTTGCTTATCTCATTTGTTTTAGATTTTTTTCTGGGGTTTTGTTCTCTTCTTTCATTTGGGCCATATTTCTTTGCCTCCTTAATTTGGCAGTCTCCCTATATTTGCTTCTGTGTATTTGGTAGAGCTGCTTTTACTCCCTGTCTTAGCAGTGTGGCCTATGTAGGAGAGGCATCTGTAAATTGTATGGGGCGGAGCCTTAGGTGATTGCCAGGGCCAGGCAATGCACTTCACTGCTTTGTGGCTCTGTGTGAGGGGAGGGGTCTCAGAGAAGGGACAGTGCTACTGCTTGGCTTCTGGGGGTTTAGCCAGCATTTGACTGGTTTCCAGTCACTTCACCCACTTCCCATATGCTGTTGGTGCCTGTCCAGCTGCCCTGTGGTTTGCATTCATTTAAAAACTATGCGGACCATTTTTAAGTGGCCAAAATTTGGCAGTTCTTCCGCCACCCCAACCCCCAGTGGTTTTTACAGCCAGAGGTAATGGGGGGTTATCTTCCCAGTGCTGGAACCCTGTTCTTTGCAGTCTGGCCTGGGGCTGGGATCGCTTGCTCCCAGTGGATCCCCCCTGACTTTTATCCACCACACATGAATGCGGGACCACACGTGAGTGTGGAACTGTCCATCCCACCACCTCCACCTCCTGCCCTGTCTCCTCAGCTCCACCCTTTGACCCATCTGGATGAATGCGGCTTCTTTAAATCCTTGGTTGTTTGACTTCTATACAGCTCAATTTTCTGACAGTTCTGGTTGTTTTTCGTTTTTGAGATCTGGTTGTAATGCTTTCTATGATTGTGCAAGGAGGAGAGAAGCGTGTCTATCTACGTACACCTCCATCTTGAGCAGAAGGGCTCTGAGTTATGACTTTAAAAGGCATGCTTAAAACCTCATAATTTGGTTTATTAATCGGCATTGGATATACTATTAGTATCATGTATTAAATAATGTACTTAATAATACTATTACCTAGACAGCATGATTTATAAAGGTTAACCTTTAAAACAGTTGTTAGCTGTTGCTCTCAGGATAACATTTAACTTGTATAATTCAGTCTGTTTTTTAATAAAAATTAAAATACAATGTAAATTTACACCTTAGCAGTTAATTTACTTTAAAGTGTTTAGTTCTCCAGGCATATAATTTAAGGCATACTTACCCCTTGAAAAGTACCCTGGTGCTATTTTTTATAATAATAGGCTATCAATTGTTCTAGTAAAACAACAAAAGGAAGGACTTTAGGTGTAGTGATTTGAATTACTTGATTATTTGTAACACCACTGATATTAAGTATTTCTGTTAAATTAAATGTGATTATCCTATGGAAAGAATCCAAATGTTGAAGAAACCAAAAATAAAGCCTGGGGTTTCCAGTTATAACATAGTGTAATTTTATAGCGGCAGCCACACATCCCTGTCATCTGTGTTGAAAATTGGTTCAGTGTAACAGCCACAGGATTCTTTGCAGTTAAAATTAACTATTGGTGTAGCTGCTGTGTAAACTCTATATATTATTACTAAATACTTCAGAGTTTGAATTATTCAGATAGATGAAGACTAAGTATTTGTGTTAGTATTTGTGTAAAATACATTCTTATAAATAGTGAAACTGCTGACTCTAAGAGGGTATGGTATTCCTTTTAGGTTTTTGCTAGGTACTACCAAATTGTCCTCCAGAAAAGATACTGAGACAGTTTGTACCCACATTAGCAATGTATGAGGATGAATGCTTATTTTCTCACACCTTCTTTAGTTCTGGATTTTATCCATCTTTTTTGATAAATAAAAATAGTATCTTGTTATAGTTTATTTTGAGATCAAAACTTTTATTATTTTTATATGGAGACTTAAAAATACTGATTTTATTTCCATTTAAACATTACTTTTAAATAAAATTTAAATAGCTAGTTCTCAGATACTAAATGGGAAACAGTGATCAGCCTGGATTAAAGATTTGACCTGAGTAATTCCCAGTGAGAATAATTACTTTCTGTAACTCTTAAATGGCAATACAGGCTTTTGTTTGAATATATCCCATTCTCAAATAAAATGTAATGTCATAAAGTTAGATATGGGTTTTAACTTGGTAAGTGATTTCTGTTAAACACATTGATTAACCTAATTTTAAAGGTTTAATTAAAAATTTTAAGTTCCTTTAATCAGTGTGTACATATTTTCTATCATGATTTTTTTAAATAATTTATTTTCAGAGAGAGGGGAAAGGAAGGAGAATGAGGGAGAGAAACATTGATGTGCAAGAGAGACATGGATTAGTCGCCTCTCGCATGCCCCTAACTATGGGGACCTGGTTCACGGCCAGCACTCAGCCCACTGAGCCACACCAGCCAGGAAGATCCTATCAGGATGTTCTTACCAACTTCACCCTCTTTGGAGAAAAGAAATCTTTGGTTTAAAGACTGTTTAATAGGAAAAGTGTCCAGGCCCACGGGGTCCTTTTAACTCTATCTTTCTAAATTTTTACTTCCCCTGTTCTACATCCCCTGCATTCATTTGCTGAATTTCTTCTCTGTGCCATCTACTGTGCTGTTGACAGAGATACAGAAATGAACTTGGGTGTCTTTGCCTTTAGTGAGGTGTTAATCTAGTATAGGAGACAGACACCTAAACCAGTAAGTTAGAACACCGTGAAGTATAAAATATAAATGAAAAGGTGGCACTGAAGGGGAAATGATAAACTGCCTTGGAAGAGGAATGCGGTGAGAGAATATTTTTACTTTTTAAGTGAGCTATACATTAAGGCATTGATTTTCAACTGATGCTACATAAACTAATTAAAATGCTCTGGCATACCAAAAAATAATATTTTTTGCTGCTCTGACCAAAAAAAAAAACCCACATAATTTTGATTCATTCACACTGATGGCTATTGTTGTATTGGCAGTTATCATCTTTATATTTTATAATCCGAGGGAAAGAGGCCAATGTATTGCACTTTTAAGATTTTATGTATTTACTTTTAGAGAGAGGATAAGAGAGGGAGAGAAACTGATCCGTTGCATCTGGCACAGCCCCCAACTGGGGACCTGGCCACAACTCAGGCTTATGCTCTGACTGGGAATTGAACCAGCGATTTTTCAGTTCTCAGGCTGGTGCTTAATCTACTGAGCCACACCAGCCAGGGTGGAACTTTTTTAGAGAGAAGCGAGGAGAGCATTTATAATTCACTCGAGTTTTTATGAGTGCCTACCACATGGTAGTTTTCACCTCAGCTAGTTTGGCCCTTTTCCATCCTTCCTAGATTACTATTCCTCTAGACTTTTTTTTTTTTTTAAGTTCTCTTCTTTCTCTACTCAAATGACTTGAATCTCAGGCCCTTAGTAAAATCTTCCCAACCACCTTACCTGAGCACAACCCCTCCTCCCCCATTTTCTACTGCAGCATTCTATATAGTAATGTAGGACTTTTATTTACCTGAAACTAACTTAATATATGTATAACGATATGTATATGTGTTTATTTATATAAAATATTGTTTTTATTTATATAAAATATTTATTTATATAAAAAGATATATCTGTTATGTTGCCCCTTTGTTTCATGAAGACAGATTTAATCCATCATGTTTGTTGCAGTTTCTCCAGTGCTTCAGACAGTGCCTGGCTTTTGTACTTTATGTCGGGCCTGTTCACATAATAGTTTACATCTTATCTGAAGGAGGTGGAGGTTGTGTAGTGTCTCTGCGTTTTATATAGCTAAACAGTCTGAGACTTGGGAAACTTGATTTCCTGATTTTAAATGGATAATAAATGGATGATACTGGTTTTATAACCCTGGCTTTTGACCTCTAATACTTCTATTCTCTCACACTACTGAGGTTTCTTATGTAGAAGAAATTTAGGAAAGAACTTTTGACCTTTCTTATCCTCTTTACTCCTAGTAACATCCTCTTATCTCACAGGGATAACATCTCATCTGAAACTAAAGAAGAGACCATTTACCTCAGGAAATTGTTTACCTGTCATTAAATAATTCTAACTGTCTTTTAAAAAACAGTATTTATTGGCATTTAAAGAAAAATATAACTTGAAAAAGGTTTTTAAATGCATGCTTTTGCTTTTCATTTTTTAAAAAAAATCTTTATGCTGTTTCCATGAAATGTGGCATCAAACCCCCAACTTTTGTAGTCTGAAACTGTTCTTATAAACTGGCTGGTTGATTAATGAGCTGACTGATTAAATTTCTAAGCCTTACTCCCCAGGTGCTGTCAGGTGTACAGAACACAGAGCTGATTAAGTCCGTGCCCAGTTAATCTTTCTAGAGTAAATGTACTTCAGTGGTATTTTACTTTAAATATACATGTCAGTTGTGACATTTATAAAATATATTTTAATAATGCCTAATTTGTGGGGGGGGGTGTTTTTAATAGGCAAGAAAACAGCATATCATTGGTGAAAGCTTATTGGAATGAACTTTTTACTCTTGGTCTTGCCCAGTGCTGGCAAGTAATGAATGTGGCAACTATATTGGCAACATTCGTCAACTGCCTTCACAGTAGCCTTCAACAAGGTAAAAAGCACCTTATTTCCTTTGCTGGGACATGAGAGGGGATGTCAGTTTTATCAAGTGTTACTAATAAAGTTACATCTCTGATGATAATGCCTTAGGTACCAGCATCTTTTTTGCTTTAGATTATTTTTACATTTTGATAGTTTCACTGATCACCAAGAAAATATTTCTGAATATTTAAATTTTTAAATATTTTAAAACACAACAAAATTGAAACAATTACATGTAAGTCTGGCTGGCTCTTTCTGACCAGGCTTTGTGAATGTTTGTGCTTCGTCACAGGTACCAAGGAATCCAGGGTGAGCTTATGTAGAAGCGATTGATTATTTTAGAATGTGTTCTTCCAACCCGTTTTTAAACTACTGTTCTTCATTTCAACCCTTTGAGTTCCAAAACTCTTTTGTCAATTCACCAGGGGTATTCTTTTATCTTAAAAATACGGAAGAGTCACAGAATAATCCTTACTGTCTTTTTTTCCTTTTCTTGATGTCGAGGTGGTTACAGCTTTTATTCATTCAAGGAGACAAGCAGTCACTGATTTATAACTATTTGCCTTCAGAATGTCATAAAACTGACCAAGAAAGTGCCCCATCCTCAAATAGAAACTGCCACTCAAGTTTAGGAATAATTTATAAAATGGGAATTACCTTTTATTTCCTAACAACACTCCATTTCCCATTGTTTTAAATGCTTTTTAAATTATCTGCTTCCTCATATTCAAGGGCAGAGACGTCACCTTAAATTTTGTCAGCAGTAGATCTGGAAAGCAGCATTCCGTGCCCATTTCATGTGTGGACTCCTGATCTTGATTTCTCGTAGTGCGCAATGTGTTATGCAGCCTGCCTTCGCTGAAGCTGTGGTTGACCAGCCAGATGGGTTTTAAACATATCCCTCCACAGTAAATTAAAATATTCATCATAAAAGTTTACTTAGTTTTTCTTTGGTCTTCACTGTATTTTTGCTAATTATTTTTATTTTAGTAGTCTTGATAACTTTTAAAAATCTAGGTGATTTTTCTCATTTTTTAAAATCAATTACAAGCATAAATAAAATCCTGTTACCAAAATTTAAATTTAAGTTTTTTGAACTTTGGTTGGCCAGTGTTTCAGATGATTATCTTCATATCTTATCTTCTCAAAGGTATATCCTAAAGGAAACATTATTACATTTAGGGTTTTTTATACTGACAGCATGGTTTTTGTTTTCTTGAATGAACAGTCTCTAATGATCATTCATTAGTTTCATCTATACTTGCAGAGATACTGAATTTTAAACATTTATAGATTGTTTATATTTAAAGCTGGAAATTAGTGAGAAGAAAATATGTTGGGTAAAAATGGTCATACATTTTAACAGAAAACAAGAAGCTTATGTTTGTCTGTTTGTGTTTAATTGAAGACAAAATGTCAACAGAAAGAAGAAAATTATTGATGGAGCACATCTTCAAACTCCAGGAGTTTTGTAATAGCATGGTTAAACTCTGCATTGATGGCTATGAATATGCTTACCTGAAGGCAATAGTACTCTTCAGTCCAGGTACGTAAATACTGACTTCTTATTTAAAATATAATTTTTGACATTGTGGAGAAATTGGAACCCTCATACCCTGCTGCTAGGCATATAAAATGATGCAGTTAAAGTGGAAGCAACCCAGGTGTTCCTCAGCAAGTAAATAAGTAAACAAATGTAATAAACACTTACAATAACCTTTGTGACAGCATGGATGGGCCTGGAGAACATTAGGCTAAGTGAAATAGGCTGCTCAGAGAGAGACAAGTATCATGTGATTTCACTCATATATATGTGGAATCTAGTAAGCAAACTGAACTAACAAGGAAGATAGAGACACTCAGAGAACAGGATGACAGCTAAAGGGGTGGAGGGAGTGAGCAAAAAAGGAAAAGACTCAGGGACACAGCAGCGTGGTGATTGCAGGGACGGAGAGGGTACAAGGGGACTAAATGGTAATGGAAAAAATACAATAAAAATAGTAGGAAAAAATAGAATATCATTCATTCATCTATAAAGTTGTTCTGACACATGCTACAATGTGGATTAACCTTGAAAATAGTATGCTAAGTGGAAAAATCCAGTCACAAAAGGCCACGTATGATATAATTCCATTGATAAGGGATGTCTAGAACAGGCTAATTTTAGACATGAAGTTAGTAATTACCAAGGAATAAAGACAAGGGAGAATAGGGAGTGACCACGAATGGGTACAGAGTTCTCTCGTAGTAACAAGAGTGTTTTGAAATGAGATTGTGGTGATGGTTGCACAGTTGTGTGAATAATTTGAAACCACTGAATTACACAGTTTAAATCAGTGCATTTTATGAATGGTAGGCACCTGGGTATGAAAAGGAAAGTTGGAATTACTGAAGTAACATCTCTGACCTTGAGTTCAGTTGTTACATCTGCATTTGAATTCTTAGGTCTATTTTGCTGGTGGTTGTTACAAGGCAGAATGAGGTCTGAGTATTGTGTTAATGGGGTCAGTTTCCAAACATCTGGTTAGAGTCAGCAACAGAGGAAAAGGTCTCTTATTACTGTGCCCATTTCTAGGTTTCACATGGGAATTGCCAGTAAGTTTAGTGATCAGTCACTAAGAAAAATGGACTGTTCTCTTAGGTTCTGTAGTTTTCATTTTGCCATGTATTTTCTTCCTATATATCATAATAAAACTATCTTAGGAAAGCTGCTTCTTACCCCAGTGATATACCAGTAAGATAATTAAAACTTTTTAGTACTGTTTCTTAACAATGTTTCACATAAGTCAATTAACATGTATCTTCATTTATCACAACCAATTTGCTGCTTTCATTTTCCTTAAAATTGAAAGAACATAGATTGAAGTTAGAGGTATGATGTAATTTTATTAAGTATTCCCAATATTTTCTATTCATTAATTTTTAATTCTCTTAAGACAAAACAGAGCTTTCCATACTTTTAAATATTTTTTAAGTTAGACATTTTATGAAGTTCTTTTAATTCCATTTTTGTGAAATTTTGTAGTGACCATTGAAATATCTATAGATTATATTTCTGCTATCATTAATTGTCTGATAAGATGATGTTCATAGTTACTACCTTTTTACTTAATAATAATAAATAAAAATACAGAATATAATCTGCAAATGTTTTATTGGATTAAAAATACCTTTTTAATTAAGCTAAGCCATTTTTTTTCCTGTTAAAAGTAAAGTGAGCAAAATTCCTTCTACCACTTTTGGGATAAACTAAAATATTATCTATTTTAGTAGAGCCCATTGGTCTCCATTTTTATTAGATATTAGAACATGTGTTTGAGATGAAACAGTTTTAAGGGTAAGTGCAAAGTGCAGTGTGTGCTGTCTGGTAATATTCATGGAAAGAGCCACACATATGATGAAGCTCCATTTCGACTGGACGGTTCTTCTTACCGCCTTCCATCTCTACTCTAGGTGCCTTATTAAGTGAACGTGCAGTCGTAAGCTAGTAATACATTCTTTTATGTTTCAGATCATCCAGGCCTGGAAAACATGGAACAGATTGAGAAATTTCAGGAAAAGGCTTATGTGGAATTTCAGGATTATATAACCAAAACATATCCAGATGACACCTACAGGTATTTAGAAGTTAAATACCATTTAATTAAATTCATCTTAAAACTTTTTTGTGAATCTGTTATTTCATTATTTTCTACTCCAACAGTAATTGAAATTTCCCGTTAAGCTTGACCTTTGAAGTAGAAAATACTATTAAAATCAATATGCATTATTGCACGTGCTTTACATGTAATATTTTGTCCGGGTCTTGCATTGACTATAGAGGAGACTGCAGCACGTGGAGTCTTGTCAAAGGCTGCACAAGAAAAGGCAGAGGCTGGCTGAACCCACGTGATCTGACCATAACACCCAAACTCTTACTTTCTTCTGATGAAATAATGCATTTTATTAGTAAAAGGAGGGGAAATGAATGAAAAAAATACCATGAGATTTTTATAAATAACTTTCAAATTTGGCTTATGATATTTCTACCAATGTATTTCTTGCCAATGTCCTTTGAAAAAAAATTTATAAAATCAGTTCAGTTTTTGAAGGACAGAATTGTAAACTCTTGGCCATCAGAGCCAGAAAACCTGGGTTTGACTCCTGACCTCACCAAGGGCAGGTGGTTTAACTTCTCTGTTTCAGTTTCTTTACCCATAAAATGGAGATAACAACAGCATCTCCATTTTACAATTAGTATAACAATTAAGTTAGTTAATATATGTAAAGAGCATAGAATAGTGCCTGTTTCATAGCAAGGGTGATTTAAATGTGTTTACTGACATTATTTATTTAACATACTTTAAGCTAGTAAGAAGAACTTTACACATATTAAATAGAGTTATAAGCCAGTTCAGTTGTGAAAATCAGCCTTAGTTTATGTAACCAGTTTTCTTTTCCTGCTGCTCCCAGTTCTGTGGATGCAACTCAGCCAGTGGGAACAACAGGAGCTGAGTAATGTGGGGAGTAGAATACATGTGGGGAGTAGATCTTCCTGTAGCCACAGGAAGATCACTGAATCCTGGAGCTGCTGATTTCGTTTGGTCTCGAGGATTGGCGTACAGGGCCTTAGACTAGAGGAAGGATAAACATACCACAAGTTTTTTTTAAAGCTGTCGTTTTGTTGTTGGTTTTGTCATAATTGTTTTTTTCAGATTTTTTTCCTTAAGATTTTATTTATTTCAAGGGGAGAGGAGGGAGAAAGAAAGGGAGAGAAACATCTATGTGAGAAACATCAGTGAATCCATTGCCTGTTACGTGCCCCCAGCTGGGGACCTGGCCCGAAACCCAGGCAAGTTTCCTGACTTGGACTGGAAGTTGAACCAGCAACCCTTCTGTCACAGGCCAGCGCTCAATCCACTGAGCCACACAGGCCAGGGCTGTTTTTTCAGGTTTTTTAAAGTGTCTGAAGTTGTTTTATGCGTCATTATAAAGTAAATACAGTATTTAAATTTTCTCTTCCATAGATAATACAGTTGTTTGCTGACTTCTGTTCTATTAGGTTTCAGGTACTTTGATGTCTGGAATTTTTTCTCAGTTTCTTACGTTCCTAATTACTTAAAAATAATAAATTATCTTTGGATAGCAGTTTTCAGTGTATAATATACTTTCCCATAAGACATTATCCTGCCAAAATTTGAGAACCTCACTAGCACAGAAACTGGCAGAGGTCATTCCCTTCATTTTTACAAAAAGCCCTGTGAGGGAGACAAGGTGAGTGGCCCCCCCACATTCTCAGCTAGGGGGCAGCTGAGTCAGTATTTGAGTCCCGTGATGTTTCTTTCCCATTCTGTGCTTTTCCTGGTCATAGCAACTATTGCCTGCTTTACCATTCCAGTAGTTTTTTGTAAAGCAAAACCAAGAAAACTATTGCCATTGATCCTTGTGTGCCCCAATAACACAAAATATAGCTGTTCTTACAACCTCAAATGAGCTCCCAAGCCATTTCAAACATTGTAACTCGAACCATGGTTTAACAGTGTGGCAGTTTAAGAGCAAGGCTTCCCTCTGAAGTCTGTCTGACTGTGTCTCTGTCCAGTTGATTGTCATGCACTAAGGCTCGAAAACACTGGTTTTTATTTTAACTTTTGAAAATTAGACCTTTATCAAGGTAGGCAACAAAAAATACAGATGTAGAAATTACATTTTTCTACTAAATCTCTCTTTGATTTATAACCTTGTTCTCTCACCCCTTTATTTATTTTTAGGTTGTCCAGACTACTTCTCCGATTGCCAGCTTTGAGACTGATGAATGCTACCATCACTGAAGAATTGTTTTTCAAAGGTCTCATCGGCAATGTACGAATTGACAGTGTTATCCCACATATTTTAAAAATGGAACCTGCAGATTATAACTCACAAATAATTGGTCACAGCATTTGAAAGCTGAGAGCTCAGTATAAACTTACTGTTTTTTCTCGCACAGAACACAGGAAGACACCAAATGGAACTCATTGGTTTCAGGGCATCTGAAAATTTTGACTTTAAAGAATAACAGAAAACCAAAGTATTTTAATTTTGACTTTCTTAAGAAGAATTTTTGAAGTGACTGGAAGGTAGCAGGAATTAGAATTTCCCTACCTGTCTTATTTAAGTGAATAAGAAATACTATGGATTTACTCCTGGTGAAGATGATAACTAGAGCTGTCACCTTTTAACTGTCTAAGATCTCTCATTTTATCATCTTTGGTAAAGCAAATAAATCAGTCTTTTTTTTTTTTCCAGAATTGTGTTCTATTCATGTTTAATTTCATTACAAACTAGTAGAAACACTTAATATCTGAGGATGTCCTTTTATTTTACTCTTCTATAATATAATCAGTTTTCATTACTATGTCAAAAGATTGTTTTATGCACAGTGGTGTAATGATAACACTAGAGCCAGAGAAAATAATAATTGAATATATTTTTTGTCTTTTGTAAATATCACGGCACCCCTAGCCTGTGTCAGTCTCATTGCTGGCAATGAGACACAGGTCATTCGTGATCTTAAGTTTTTTAGTGGTGTGTAATGATTAGATACAGGCACTTTTTATTTACATATGTAGAAGAAAATGGTTTTTGAGAATAAGGTAGGGTTTTAATACTTTTGCCTCACTGCTGTGTTTTAAAGGTGGTAGAGACGGATGGCAGACTGGGTGTGGAAGTGTTGCTCTCCCATCCGCAGAGCACACCTGTCCTCTCCCTGTTTTCTGATCCACATGACTGCAGTCTCCTGACCCTTCCACGGGGGTTAGCCAATTTCTTTTAGGTCATTAGCAATACAGTTTGTTAAATGATGGGCTTATTATAGCCAGTCTGTGTTTTCAAGGTGAGTAAAACAATGATTTTACAGCAGTTGATAATTCTTAAAATTAAAAAAAATCCAATATGTAAAGGGATATGCACTGGGTTTTTTCCTGCCGTGAAGAGGGAAGAGCCATTTGAGTATCAGCCTAGGGCCTTGTTGTTACTACAAGAAAAGCATTTGAAACTCCTCGGATATCTTCCACAGTAATGTTTTCCTTAGCAAACCCGATACTGTTAAATATTTCTTTGCTCTGATTTCATGATGAATTATTTTTGTATGTCTATTTGTTGTTTTTTATTTTTTAACAAATATGGGGTTTTCATTGCACTCAGAGTGCACTTTTTATAAAGTTTTTTTGCAATAGAAAAGAAGCTGAATTTTGTGGAAGGCTATAGATTTTACTAATTACTACTTTATAATAAATCTAAAGTTTAAAGTATCAACTTACAGTCTACCAACTTATTAAGGGAATCTTTTTTCCCTGCTTAAACCATGATTTTATCAAGTTTATTTACAATATCAACTGGGGAAAACTACATTTACTATGAAATACACAAGTGGAAAGTCGGTAGGTTTACCTTTAGAAATGCTAAGTAGTGAGCCAAGGGTTTAGATATAATGTACTAACAGTCAGTTAACACACATGTTTCTTGCAGGTACTTTTTCTGATTAAATGTGTAATCAGAACATTTGGAAGTGTTTTTAAAAGTATATTAAAGTGTGACCTGCACTACAAATTTCAGTTTCCTGACAATATAATTGATTTCAGAGTTCTTTTGCTTGTTTGTTACATAATTAAGAAATTTCTAGTAAGATTTATTAAAGTACTTCTAGAAAGGGAAAACTATGGAAAACATTTTCATATCAGTTATTTTAGGATTATTATAAATCAATTTGAAAACTTCTAGCTAAATATTACAAATGACTGTTAATTTATTTTCTTTCCTGAAATATCAATAAAATGACAGGAAAGAGTAACCACAGAATGATAAATAAAACAAGAGAAAAAATCAAAGGATAAGAGAGGTGAGTGAGTTTTTGGGAATCAGAATCCAGGTAGAGAAAAACTGACTCAGCAGCACCAGAATCAAGTAAGGTCTGGCCCGAGCGCCTGTAAAAGGCAGTGTAGTGAGAGGAGGCAGTGGACCCTGCAGTATTCAGAAAAGATAGTATCTTGAGGGCCCAGGTGCTCATGTATAGAGATGGTGCTTGAGTCATAGAAAAGAGGATTGATTGCAACTCCGTGTACAGGATCATTGAACTGTCTTTATACTTCAGTGAGGTGACCACTTTCTATTTTTCCCCCTTTTCAAGCAAGGTTAATGCTCGTTAAAAACTAACTGGAAGATCATAGGACTTAGAGCAGCAGTGTCAAATTCATTTTCAGTGAAGGCCACGTGAGCCTCGCAGTTGCCTTCAAAGGGCTGAAATAATTTTAGGACTTCACTGTTAAGGAATTGAAATTACATCTGGCCCTTTGAAGGCAACCGTGAGGCTGGTGTGGCCCCATTGAAAATGAGTTTGACTTCCCTGACTTACAGGATACCAGGGATAATAGAAGCCTTGGATTAGGTATAGGGTTGAAAATATGTATTAAGAGAAAAATCTGCATTCTTTTTTTTAAGTCTATTTTATTGATTATGCTATTACGGTTGTCCCATTTTTTTCTCTGCTTTATTCCCCTCCACCTTGTACCCCACTTCCCTCCAACATTTCCCCTGCTTCATTCATGTCCATGGGTTGTACATACAAGTTCTTTGGCTTCTCCATTTTCTATACTATTATTAACCTTCCCCTGTGTATTTTGTACCTACCATTTATGCTTCTTATTCCCTGTACCTTTTCCCCCATTCTTCTCCATCCCCCTTCCCCTCCCTGTTGATAACCCTCCCTGTGATCTCCATTTCTGTAATTCTGTTCCTGTTGAGTTGTTTGCTTAGTGTATTTTTGTTTTTATTTTTTAGGTTCAGTTATTGATGGTTGTTTGTTGGCATTTTACTGTTCACATTTTTTAGCATCTTCTTTTTCTTAGATAAATCCCTTTAACATTTCATATAATAAGGGCTTGGTGATAATGTACTCCTTTAACTCGATCTTATCTGGGAAGCACTTTATCTTCCCTTCAATTGTAAATGATAGCTTTGCTGGATAGAACAATCTTGGATGTAGTTCCTTTCTTCTCATGACTTTGAATACTTCTTTCCAACCCCTTCTTGCCTGTAAGGTTTCTTTTGAGAATTTACCTGGGAGACTTATGGATATTCCTTTGTAGGAAACTGTCTACTTGTGTCTTGGTGTGTTCCTTTTTGGGTTTAACTTCTTTGGGACTCTCTGAGCTCCCTGAACTTGTACTTCTATTTCCTTCACTGGATTGGGGAAGTTTTCTTTCACTATTATTTAAAAAACATTTTCAACTTCCTGCTCTTCCTCTACCCCTTCTGGCACCCCTATGATTCAGATGTCAGAACATTTAAAGTTGTCCCAGGGGTTCCTAAGCCTCTCCTCATTTTTTTTTTGAATTCTTGTTTCTTTATTCTGTTCCAGTTGAATGTTTATTTCTTCCTTCTTTTCCAGATCATTTATGTGAGTCCTGGTTCCCTGTATATTTTTTATTTCATATTATATAGCCAGTGTCTGAACTCTGTATCTGATAGGTTGCCTGTCTTCTCGTCACTTTTTTTTCCTGGAGCTTTGATCTGTTCTTTCATATGAGCCATATTTTTTTAATCTGGGCCCACCTGTTACGTTGTAAGGGGTGGGGCAACCCTCTTTGCTGTGTTGTGGTGCTGTGTGGGGTGGAGCAGTCAAAGAGGGAATGATGCTGCTTGTTTGGTTCTCGCCCCACTTTGTCACTTCCCCTCCTGTCCACAAACAAGTTGTGCCCTTTCAGATGCTGCCCTGGTGCTGACTTCTGGGCAGTTGGGGACATGTACATTCTAGGACTCTGTGGGTCCCTCTGATGGACTTTCCTGTGAGACTGGCAGTTTTTCCCACTACTGCAACCCCCACAGGTTTTTATAGTCAGAGGTTTTGAGGCTTTCTGTTCCCAAGCTGGAGCCCTGGGTTGCACAGTCTGTCTGGCTCCCCAGTTGTTCCTCCCAGTGTCTCTGCCATGAATGTGGGACCTCCCGGTCCGCCAGCTGTGCCAGCCACTGCCTTGCCCCACATTCTCTCCTCCCCGGCTTCCTTTCCCTACCCCTCCCACCAGTCTGGATGAATGTTTCTTTAACTCCTTGGTTATTGGACTTCTGTACAGTTCAGTTTTTTGGCAGTTCTAGTTGTTTTTATTTTTAAATTGGTTATTCTTTTTTTTTTCCTTCAGAGAAACTAATTGCCTCCAGAGAAGTGATCTCCAGACACACAGTCACTTTTCATTGTGTCTGGATAAGAAATCTGATTCCCATTTTATCACTTCAGTGAAGCCCACTAGTTCTCAAGTCATGTGTATAAACATGGGCTTTCCATGCAGCTCGTTAGTGGCCACTATTAAATATGAGTATAGAGCCATGATAACTAGGTATTTAGATCATACATGGTGGAGTGGGCAGATAGAATGCAGGGATCAGGAAAACACCCTTATTGATATTTTGAAAGAAACTAGATGTATCCATTGAATGACAACAGGATGCTTTGGAAAGGAAAATTTGGAGCAAGGAACATCCAAATTGGAAATTTGGAAATTAAAAATGATAGCCCAAGAAATTCATTAGAAGGGTTAGAAGATAAAGTGGTTGAGTAAGTCACACTGAAAAGTATAACAAAAAACAAAGAAATAGGAAATAAAAGATAATACTGGAGTATCAAATCAGGAGGTCTTAACATTTTAGTAGTAAGAGAATACTACTACTCTCTAGTAGTAGTAGTAGTAGTAGTAGAATACTACTACTTTAAGGAAGAGAATACAGGTAGGTAAGAGGTGTAGGGGGGAGAGAAGTATAGTTATTAAGGCAGTAGAGATCCTTGTGATGTAACTTCAGTATCTTGACAGGTAACATACAGGAACTTACATGTGAGAACATTGTACAGAACTAAACATGCACATAAACGAGTACAAGTAAAACAGGAGACATCTGAGTAAGATCAGTGGATTGTATTAATGTCAGTATCCTGGTTGTAATGATCTAGTTTGCAAAATGTTTCACCATTCAGAGAAACCGAGAAAGGCATAAACAGGATAGGATCTGCATTACCTTACAACTGCATGTGACTCAGTATCTCAATTTTAAAAATCAAGTTAAAAAGCAACTAAGATGGTTAGGAAATTATTGCATTGGCATTGCTCATCAATGACTGCTACAATCACAAAAAAAGTGAAACAAGCAGACACCATGTGTACTTCCTGATGGAAGGATACCATCATCTATGAAAAATAATGGACAACAAAAAGAAAACCACTAATCTGGCCAAGCATGTAGGTTTAATTACTAATCTACAGGGGGTAGAAGAACAGATAAAATCGACAAAATGTACATTAGGGGGAATTCTACCAGAGAAATTGCCTATTTCTTCATCATGTAAATTGGAAGGACAAAAAAAGGGTAGAGAATGGGAGAAACCCTTGGACTACAAGAAGGGAACCCCTCAAAAAAACCCAGAATTACCTTCTGGAGGGTGGGCCCCCTTGTAGTACAGGCTTCCCCTGCTAGGTAAGTGTTCTAGGAACCCACCTGTATCAGTGTACCACCTGGCATTGTGAGAGGCTGGGTTGGCTTCAGTGAGGGTGGTTTTTTGTTTTTTTTTTTTAAGACTAAATGCCTTTGCACATTTCTTGATGATGATGTACCTGCCCACACCTCACTGAGTGTTCAGCAATTCTGACCAAAAATGGCACGGACCCCCCTCCCCCATGCCTTGCCCTCCCATTTCATCTGAGCTCACCCTGGGCAGCTTTTTGTTGTTGTTGTTCTTTACCCTGTATGAAAAAAGTCCTCAAAGGGAAAGGTTTTGCCAATGTGGAAGAGGTGAGACAAACTGGCCGAAGCACTAAAAGGCATCAAAATTGGATTAGTTCAAAAACTGGATTAGTGGGGAAAAACATCATAGGTGTATTGCATCAAATGGGGAATACTTTTAGAATAAATCTACGGTCATACCACATTGTATTCACTCCTTATCATCTCATCTCAGAAGCTAAGCAGGACCGAGCCTGGTTAGTAATTGGGTGGGAGAATAAGTACACAATTTTTTGTAAATAAATTTTGGTTTTTTAGGGTTCCCCTTCATAAAATTTAAGTGGAAATCAGCCAGTTACAAACTATGAGTCTTACTCAGAAAAACTAAAAATATTATGAGAATTAGGGAATTTGAACCGTTCTCAATATTTAATATGAAAGAATTATTACCTTAATGTGAGGTGATAATGTGGTTGGCTTTTTTCGAATTCTTAGATATATAGAAATAGATGGACTTTTTAAATAGGAGAGCAAAAATGCATGGAAGTCATAGTTCAACAAGGCAAAATCAAATGTGACTTGATTTTTGAGTGATTGACAGAGTCTAACAGACATTTGACCCTCATTTGCAAGTTTTTCTTTTGGGGTTGAAGGTTTAGTAGCATAAAATTAAATCCCTCCCCTGGGTCTAGTAGTATTACTTGATCCTTTCAAGGAATATTGTTTGTCTTTAAACTCAGACAATTATTAAAGCTTGCAGTTAAAATTTGAGAGTAAATCTTAAAAACCTTCG